TGTCCACTAACCTGGGCCGTACGCACATTCTTCCTATATAGTGTCCACCAACCTGGGCCGTACGCAAATATCCCTACTATATAGTGTCCACCAACCCGGGCCGTACGCACATTCTTCCTAGATAGTGTTCACCAACCTGGGCCGTACGAATATTCCTGCTATATAATGTCCACCAACCAGGGCCGTACACATATTCCTGCTATATAATGTCTACCAACCCGGGACGCACGCACATTCTTCCTATATAGTGTCCACCAGCCAGGGCCGTACGCATATTCCTGCTATATAGTGTCCACCAACCCGGGCCGTAGGCATATTTTTACTAATAGTGCCCACTAACCCGGGCCGTACGCACATTCTTCCTATATAGTGTCCACCAACCAGGGTCGTACGCATATTCCTGCTATACAGTGTCCACCAACCAGGGCCGTACGCACATTCTTCCTACAATAGTGTCCACCAACCTGGGCCGTACGCGCATGGTGGCCCGGAGGCGCATGCGTTATCGTATTACCCTCATTCGCTAGTCCATCATACCCTTATAGCCTCATACCTCATCAATATATTAAACCTTATGCCTTTAGAGTTGTTTTTGCATGCGTTGGGATACGCGTTACTGAAAGCCAACCCTGGTGTTCGGTAAAGATAGACTTCAGGGTGGATTCGTTAAGTTAGAGTTAAAGTTAAAAGGGAAGATAAGAAAGACTCGTTGATTAAGAGCCCGCAGTGTTGTTTCTTGTTATGCAACAAACTTGACGCGTTTGTAACACGCTTAACTCGGTTTCAGTGTAAACTTAACATTATGCCCCTCCCACCGTGAAGTCCCGCATACGCCCGTGAAGTCAAAATCTCGCAAAGATGGTCGACCATTGAGAGGTACTCATATTTGACAAAGTGAAGAGCAGCGTGCGGATCCGGTTCTTTCAGAGACTGAATTTCATCCAGCGCGTTTCTGGGACGACGCCCCCGGTGAAAGCCTAACCTCGCGTGTACATCCTCATACGCGCGTGATCTTGTTAACTCTTTCATGTGCTGAGAGAAAAACGTCAGAACGCTCACAGACGCGTGTATGAATCTCAGAAATGTGGTAGGGACGCAGTTGTATTTGAGGAACCTGTTAGGGCTCCACGTTGAAGCTTCGGCTCGTTGTCATCTTTTAGAAGTCGTGCGGTCGTCTTGACATGCGCCCGGGCTGGGGTCAAACTGACCCCGCTGAAGGTTTTTCCAGAACGATTTCCGGACGACGGGGCGCAGCCACGCCAAATTTTGCATAGTTGTAGACAGTTGAATAGCGGATCGTTTGGTATTAATAAATTTAGATGTATCTCGTAAGGTCACTGACCTGCGGCAGGTCAAGGTCAGGCCATAGATTCTGCGAAGTCAGTTTCTAGAAAATCGTTCAATCTGATGCAACAATGGAGTGTTAGGCGAAGGTAAACATCTCTGAGATATTTTATTATGTAACACAACAATATATCGAACGAATTCCGTTGACCTAAGGCCAGTTTTGAAGGACAGACCAAGGTTAAAACCAATCTGTTTTATTATTCTAGGGCTTGCTGCAAGGGGTAGTTTCTGATGCTTATTTCGAATTTATTAATAACAGAAACTGCACTATGCATCTTCCATGGACTTCTTAAAGGTCAGAATAGGTCACTGACCTACAATGAACCCGGTCAATATTTTGTTTTTAGGAACATACTGGCAAGCGTAATCTTTCCCGCTTATTCAAATGCAAAGTTCAAAGCAGTCTTGTATGATTTTGGTCACCATGATCTTCGAATGGTCAAACAAGATCACTGACCTAAAATGAGCATGTGACCTCCTGCCTAGAACAGGTATCTAGGTTCTAGGGTCACTTTAGAGGCCAACCCGGAAACTGACCTTGTTCGACGTTATTTGACTATAAAATCATGGCCTAGGGACCTCAAGCCTTGACCTAAGCTTGTTCAGTAACAGCCAACATACCCTGCGAATTCGGTGTTTCTAGCTTTCTTAGTTCCTGAGATCTCAGGGGGGGGGGGGGCAAATTGACCCTCCACCCGAGCGAACGGTATCCAACCGGCCACCCGGGCGCGCGTTTAACTGCCACAATGTCCTCGAGCCTTCGGCTCAAATGACCCCGCCGCCTACAGAGAACGGGCTGTGACTCCTTCAGTCTCCCCCTGCCTCCGCCTCTGCCGAGTAGCCCAGGCGGCGGTCGCCAGCAAAATACAACGGGCGCGGGGTATGACGTCAGATCCCGGCTGAGATCTCATGTGCTCAGAAGTGCGCGGCCCGGCAGGCAGCCTGCCCTCGCCGTGGTGCGCGGTCAGCACCGCTGTCAGCCGGAATAATATCACATTTGAAATGGAAACAGCAAGTTTTAGGGAAGCTTTCTAAGAGATGTTTCATGAATACAACAAACGAAGGCGATGAAACCCGCGATGTGCTGTCCGGTTGTGTACAGCTGGTTGAGCTAGTCAGCGTTTACGTCAACATTTATGATTACACTTACCTCCACGTTTATGCCGTACTTGCGTGAAGATTATCTGTTTTGCTGCGTGCTGCATCATTTGTATGACAAAATTCATATTTTGTCATCTCTGGCCTAGTTTTCTTGCATGACATTATTCAGAGATGTTTCATTTTCTTCAATAGCTGCGCAAACGACAGATACCCTCATCAGTGTCCCTGCACAGCCCAGGACACTGGGGAGCGTGCATCATACCCGTGTGATGCACGTGATGAACCACGAACCATGAACCATGAACCACGAGGTTGGTCAGGAGCTGAGGGCTTTTGGATTAGACCAGACATGCAGTCTGATACAAGTGGAGGTCGACTGTGAAATAATGGGTGCGCTGCATACCGAGAGCACTGAGAGTCCGGTGGTACATGAGCACATCAGCGCATCAGCATCAGCAACCGGTGACACGTCAGCGTAGACAGAAGGATGTCTGGCTGTCAGGCGGTGTGTCGGTCATTGCCCCGAGCACCATCAGTGTCTTAGGCTTCGGGGCAGTGCCCGTGTCACGTCGGTCCTGCTGAGCATTGAAACGCCCCCTTCCGGCCAGCTCGTCATTCTCGCAGTCTTTCGACAGCCACGCCGCGTGCACTGCTGACTGAGCCTGACAACAGTGGACTGAGGCCGTGACTCTTCATTCTTGCCGTCTTTCGACAGCCACGCCTCGTGCATTGCTGGCTGAGCCTGACAACAGTGGACTGAGGCCGTGACTCTTCATTCTTGCAGACTTCCGACATCCACGCCTAGTGCACTGCTGGCTGAACCTGACAACAGTGGACTGAGGCCGTGACTCTTCATTCTTGCAGTCTTTCGACATCCACGCCGAGTGCACTGCTGCCTGAGCCTGACGACAGTGGACTATTTAGGTTAAAAAGTATTCAGTATTCAGGTTAAAAAATTATTATTATTATAATATATATAAAAAGTATTCAGTAAAAGTATTAGTAGTATTAGTAGTATTATTAGTAAAGTATTCAGTGAAAGTATATATACATAAAAAAGTAAAAGTATTCAGTATTCATATTCGGGTTAAAAAGCCTTTGCAGCGCTGCAGCTGCGTAGCCTGGTGGGCGAGTCGTAAAGGAAACAGCTCAATGTCGCCGTTCTGCTGCAGAGGTTGTACTGGCGAACAGACTGCTATAATAGTTCACGAGAAATCGTGTGCTATAGCCGCTGCACCAGGAAGCAGATGAACGCCAGTCAAGGAAGAGGAGCGAGATGTACACAGTGATAATTATTGTGAGTAGAAGTAGAGGGGCGTGGCAGGTACTGGCTGGTACAAGTGCGCTCAAGGTCTCGTAGGTGCTGTGACACTGTGCGTAGGTCAGGGGTCCTCTCTGAGTTCGATATTTGACCTTTGAGTTGGCGTTGGATTAGGCCTCGAAACCCAAAAATAAATCCAGAAAGGGACTCGCCACTCATAACTCCCCTAAAGAGCTTTTACACGGCCTTCTACGTCATCCAGATCAAAATAAGGTAATTAATTAGCAGTGAAGCTGGCGACGTCCGCCATCTTGAGTGGGAGAAATGCTCAGAGTTGCACAAACAGCAATCGAGCTAATTTCGCTTTTGCAGGGTCAACATGTTTGCAACTTGACGGGGCACCGACTGTTGCAGGCAGTCTCACACGAGGTCGAGCACCGCACTGAATCACCGTCCTTGTAAGAGCATGTTCAAACACGGGGTGCGTGAACTTGGTGCCGAACGCACGCACTAGTCCCGAGCTACAATAGACCAGCGGCGGAGGCGTGTCCCACGGGCACCTGCCGACGTCACGCTGTTTGCCGAACGCGTTACTTTCTCAACAATCGCGGCTTCACACAGGATATTTCTCTTCTCGCTTAATCCAGTCGTCATCCGAAGCCCTCTTTTATACGAGTCTTAAGTGGCCTGATCGCACGCTTAGGTGCCTCGGGCGTGTCTTATTTCCTTTTACTTCGAACGACTGGCGAGCAAGTGCTAATCGCAGCTTTTGTACTCAGTGACAGTAGGGATTATTTATGCGGACATTTGGGCCTGGGGTAAAATTAACCCGCGACGGAAAGGCCGCCGCGACGCCAGATTTGGACATTCTCGGGAGCGCACGCACTTGATGGTGAGGGCGACACTGTCCGCGTGACGTCTATCAACTACATATAAATAAAATCCTGGACGTCGTTCTGCTCCAGACGCGTACCCAGATTGGGCGTGACGATCGCCCCTGAGCATAACGCGCGAGACGTCATACCGCTTCCCCACGCCACTACTATTGGCGCGTTACGACGCACGCGGGCACGCCAGTGGGAACAGATCGCCACGCCGCACGCGGCACCCCCGCACGCCACCAATCCAGCGGCACCGCTGGGCGGCAGTCCGCCACGGACGTCACCTTCCGCTAGTCTTGCTTATGAGACGGTACCGGTGTAACCGCCCCGGCTCTGGCGGGGCGACGAGCCGCGGGTCATGCCGAGCCCTTCCTGGTGGGCCCTCTATGCGCCCGAGTTCAACACACACATTGCAGAAAAGAATTGCATGAGTTTATTATGTCTTGCTACTAGGTAACGTGCTAAAGCTATTACCGCTCACAACCGTCTCCATAACACTGCCTCCCCGCGCCGGGAGCATCCAAGAGCACACGCGCACGCTGAGAACATTTCCAAGGACGAGCCAGACCGGGACGTATGCAGCTCCTTGGCATGTCTATCACATTGCGGCTTCTACAGAAGCCAGGAGTATATTTGAACTCGGGACCCTGCTCCGCCGTCAGTCACATACTACGCGTCTCGCTCTCGCCGCCGGGCACGCAAACAGGGGCCTCTCGCGCTGCCGGGGCAGCTTCATCAAAAATATACATTCGACGCAGCACGCTCGGATCGAAGTCGCAGCCGTAAATACTCGAGCGGCCGGTGCAGCAATCTCGGGTCTTCGTTATTTGTTTACTCCGGCGAGCTCCGACACAGCCACTCTGCGGGCCCGGCCAGTAGACGCTCATAACTCAGCACGGCTCCGGACTCGCCCCAGACGCCACCTGCGCCGCAGTTGCAGTTGGCGTGACGGCCGCCAGACGACGCTACTGCCGTCGGCGACGCTTTTCCGCGGGTCACCGTCGCATGGCGCCACTGTTCAGCTGCTGCACCAGGCCGTAGCCGTACGGATACATGTTGCCCTGGTGGTGACCTGAAAACGGCACAATCTTCATCAGCAAAGCCCTCAAAATCCAGCATAGCAAAGCCCTCACTCTGCGACTGAAAGTCTCTGGCACACCTGTGGTTGGCACAGGTTTGTGCTTGATTCTGCCTACGCTGCGCTAGCGCCGAAAGGTCCAACCAAAAGATGACCGAGCCGCGGGGTCTTCCATAATTATCTGATCGTCGACAAAACACGTGAAGGAAAAGGGGACCACCAGCACATTTCGAACTGAGAGTCACGAAATTCCTTCTTCAAGGAAGCCGCACACTTCCTACTGGCTAATAGAGTAACGGATTGGCGCAACGACTCATTCTGGCAGCCCAATGTTATTCCACCGCAACGTCGAAACTTGAAGCTCACGAACAAACACAGATGAACTCCCCTGTCCCCCGGACGGGGGCGGTTTTCGCCCTAATGCAACACGCCCTCACCCAGCCCACAACACCACATCGCTACACGCCTCCACAAGACTGAGCCGACACCAGCAGAGCGGGGGGGGGGGGGCGGGGAGGACACACACACAGCGCCACGCCCTTGTATGATGCCGGAAGTCCACAGCTCCACTTCACATCTTCGCCGCAGAGGGCGATCGCAGACAAGAGACCCGGTCGCCCCGCGGTAGCGGTTAGGTTTCACGGGTGCGTCCACTGCGGCGGTGGTCGGCGCCAGCAAAGGCCGCGCCCACGAGCGGGCGGCGGCACGACCGAGCGCGCTCTTACCTCGCTGAAGGGCGGCCGCCTCCTGCGGCCCGCCGGCGGCCGGGTGGTGGTGGCCGTGCGGCGCGTGCGGGTGCGACGGCGGCGCGTGCGGCGGCGGCGGCCCGTACTGGCCCTGGTGGCCGGGCATCACGTGGCCCATCATGGGAGCGCCCATGAAGCCGCCGGCCATGTACGGCGTCATCTGCTGCGGCGACATCCTGCCAACGGACGCGTCAGGTCTGGTCAGGTCTGGTCAGGTCAGGACGCACGGTCAGGCGGCCGAGCCGCGGCGGCCGGCGACAGAGGACGCCGCCGCTCCCACCCCGCCGCCACGCGACGGCCTCAGCAGCGCACCGCTCCGCCACACATGCCAGTGAGGAGCTGTGTCTCGCCTATTGCAGTTCTCAAGCCGGTAGCGGGGTATTGATCAAGCGAGTGGGCATTCTTAATATATATATCAGGCGAGTAATTGATCTGCCTAGTGTAAGTAAGCGCGAGGTAGGGAAACGCATACACCACACCAGCTCGTTATCCCGGCAAGCCAGACGGCCGTAAGGCGCGGGAAGCACAGCCACTGAATGCAGCATACCGCGCCGGTATCGACTTCGGCGATTGTGCGGCATTCCGGCCGTATTTATCATCAAGCGTTCTGAAAACTAATGTCACAAAGCCCGACTAATGACCACGGCCTTCGAGAATCTTGCCGCGTTAATATTTTCCGTAAGCGGAAAATTTCCCGGGTCGCGAGTCACATCGATTAATGATATGATACATAGATGTAAACCAAATCGAGCGACTCTCCATGCGTCTTCTTACGGCGTGACATTAACCAATGGCCTGGTCTGTATTTGTTTGGGAAATTCGCTTCTGTGTTTCAAGAACTAAACAATTTATGAGTAGCGTGCCGCGTGCGCACTTAATCCAGCCTGCCGTGAGGGGGATTCGCTTCGCCGGATTTGGCGCCCTGCCCGGAAAGAAATTACACCCAGGCTGCGCGTGTTATCAAGACGAATGCTGCTCAGACTTTCCGGCAACTGTGTCGGCTACGACGAAAATACAGCGCAAAAACTCCGGCAGGGGTGTTTCCAGTTTGAGACAAGGCCTCACATTTCCTCGTGGAACATCCTTGTTTTTATCGCAGGGTACGCTGGCACCCCGTACGAAGGCATTATGCCTTGAAAATCAATACCTTCGGCGCACCATCTCGTTAAGTATTAAACGCCACGTTCCGGTTCAACAATGGCTGCTGGACCGATGGCGCATCAACGCGAGAATGTTAGGCGGAACTTTGATACGCGTCCTTTGAGCGGCGCGACAGGCTTCGTTCCTTTTCATGGAACATGACGCAGTGAACATGTTAGCTCTAGATGCGTCCTGCCTTTGATGGCGGCCGCTCCCCACATTCATCCTCAGCCTCTCTCCGTTCCCGACGACACGGCCCATCGATCATTCCCGAGATATCCCAGCGAGGAGCGGGAGCGCGCGCGGAACGGCATGGCGGCTGAAGGGAGGCCGGCTGAAGGGAGGCCGGCTGACGGGAGGCCGGCTGAAGGAAGACCAGCTGACGGGTGGCAGGCTGAAGGGAGACCAGCTGAAGGGAGGCCGGCTGACGGGAGACCGGCTGACGGGAGGCAGGCTGAAGGAAGGCCGGCTGACGAGGGACCGGCTGACGGGGGGTAGGCCGAAGGGAGGCCGGCTGACGGGGGACCGGCTGACGGGGGGCAGGCTGAAGGGAGACCGGCTGACGAGGGGCAGGCTGACGGAAGGCCGGCTGACGGGAGACCGGCTAACGGGGGGCAGGTTGAAGGGAGACCGACTGCCGGTGACGGGAGACAGGCTGACGGGGGGGGGGGGGGGGGCAGGCTGAAGGGAGACCGGCGACGGGAGACAAACTGAAGGCAGACCGGCCGACGGGAGACCGGCTGGTGGGAGACCAGCCGAGGAGAGACTAGCTGAAGGAGATCAGCTGACGCGTCTCCCGTGGAACCCCGTGAACAGGACGCTACATCACGTCCACATCCGGGATATCTGCCGTAAAGCAGTTAAGTGGCAGGGCCAGACCCCAATGCCCGCCCAGATGACCAGATTTGTCGCTCCGCCCCGGCTCGCCGGCATCTGCTGCGCACGCCGCGCCGGTACACGGCAGATGCCGGCGCGTACCGGCGGATCTCGCTCTCCGCCATGGTGACTCCCGACAGTCCGCACCAGGACAGGCCGCCAGTGACGACGGCCTCTGCGGCGGCCGCTGCTCACCTGTGGTAGCCGTTCTGATGGTGCGGCAAGTAAGGCATCATGGCGGGCGGCATGGCGGGCGGCGCCGGCGGCGCCGGAGCCGGCGCCGCGCCCGCCGCCGCCGCCGCGCCCCGCTGCGCGCGCCGTCGCTCGTAGCCGGCCGGCTGCTTGCCGCCGTAGTAGGTGCCCAGGTGGGCGTGCCGCGGCGGCGGAGGCGTCATGCTGTGGCCGCCGCCCGGCGGAGGCGTGGCCGGCGGAGGCGTGGTGGTGTTGCCTGTGGGCAGGGCAGGGCAGTCAGCGGTGGGGTCAGCGGTCCGGTCAGCGAGGGGCCAGCTGGGGGGTGAGTCAACGGGGGGTCAGCGGTGGGGTCAGCGACCGCGTCAGCAGTTGCGTCAACGGGGGAGGGGTCAGTGGTGGGGTCAGCGGTGGGGTCAGCGGTGGAGTCAGCGCTGGGGTCAGCGGGGGAGGGGTCAGCGACAGGGTCAGCGGCGGCCACCGATCGGCCCGAGCGGACAGGCCCGGATCGGCCCGTGCGGACAGGTGCGTGCCAACAGCTGGACGAAGGGCACAGCCAGAGGGACACGCGAAACCTCTGGACTCATGGGATGCGCATTGGCTGAAGCGAATAATGCGATTCTAGCCACCTAATAAAGCAACTTTCCCCCCGCAAGAATGACTTTAATAATATAAATTCCTACCCGTATATCCATTTTCACGTCAATGGGCCCCGTACCACATGGTCTGACGCATTGGACAATACCATCGGAGGAATGGTTTTTATCCACAGGATAATGCATGCACAGCCACATCCGATGTATGGTAAAGCATCAGGTCATTCTACACGCCCCTTGGAGGTCCCTCAGAACCCCGGCCCTATCCTCCCCGCGGCGCGTGCACCGACCGGGCGCGATGTCCATGATGGTGTTGGTGAGCTGCTGCAGTTTGGTGATGCTGCACGAGCTGGCGGCGGCACTGCCGGCCGGTCCGGCGGCCGAGCCGGCCAGACTGGCGGCCGGCGGCGCCGCGGCCGCGGCCGCCGCTGCCGCCGCCGCCGCGCCGTAGTAGCCGGCCGAGCCGTGCTGCAGCATCTGGCCGTAGCTGGCGCCGCCGCCGTGCCCGGCGCCCTGCCGCCGCGGAGCACGCGGGTCAGCTGCGACAGTCGGTGGGCGGAGGCGGGCCACGGCTGGGTGGGCGGTGGGTGAGACGGCCGTCCGGCCATGCGACACAGCTGCTGCGCGAGCGGCGCGACAATGTCGAGCGTGCCGACACTCCGCCGTCACTGTCGCAGCAGCAGGACGGCCGCAGCATGCCGCCCCCCGTCACCAGACAGACAGCGGAGCAAGCCGCTTAAGGACAACACGCACAACAGGAGCGCCTTGCACCGCGAGATCGGCGTCTCCGCTCGGTAACTTACAGGCCGAGCATGTCGGCGAATACTGCAGACGGCGGAATCAGCGCCACAGTTCAGGAGAGGTCGACTGATCCCGCACCAATCCCCCCCCCCCTTCCCCCCGTCGCGTCACGCAGCAGCGCGCGGTCATCACCGCCGCCACAGCGGGCGGCGCGCGCCACCCACGCCGCAGCGGCCACTGACCTGAGCCGCCAGCCAGCCGTGCTGCGGCGCCGCGAACAGCTGCTGGTTGTAGCCGTACTGGGGGTAGTACTGGGCGTGCGCGGCCGCCGCAGCCGCCACGGCCGCCGCCGACGTGACGGCCGGCCCCGGCGGCGCCCGGTGCCCGTTGGCGGGCTGCGGCCGGCCGGCGCGCGACGCCGGCTGGCCCGGAGACGCCGCCGGCGGCGCAGACTGCTGCTGGATCGGCGACGGCGACGGCTGGAAGCCGGGCGACGCCTGCATGGCCGGCGAGTGCAGCGAGTGGTGGCTGGGGCTCAGCACCGGCTGGTGCTGCATCGCGTGACCCGGGCTCGGCACCGGCTGGTGCTGCAGCTGGTGACCCGGGCTCGGCACGGGCTGGTGCACGTGGTGCCCCGGACTGGGCACGGGCTGGTGCTGCATCTGGTGCCCCGGGCTCGGCGCTGGCTGGTGCTGCATTTGGTGTCCAGGACTTTGCACCTGCTGGTGAACGTGATGACCAGGACTCGGCACTGGCTGGTGAACGTGATGTCCCGGACTTGGCACCGGTTGGTGCTGCATCTGATGGCCGGGACTTGGCACCGGTTGGTGCTGCATCTGGTGGCCGGGACTTGGCACCGGTTGGTGCTGCATCTGGTGTCCAGGACTTGGCGCCGGCTGGTGTCCGTGGTGACTCGGGCTCGGCACAGTTTGCTGCTGTTGCTGCATCTGGTGGCCGGGACTGGCGATGGGCGGCAGCTGCTGCTGCTGCTGCTGCTGTTGTTGCTGTTGCTGCTGATGTTGTTGCTGTTGTTGCTGTTGCTGCTGCTGTTGCTGTTGCTGATGCTGCTGTGGCTGTTGTTGCTGTTGCTGTTGTTGTTGCTGTTGTTGTTGCTGCTGCTGCTGCTGTGGCTGCTGCTGCTGCGGCTGCACAGGACTGATCACCTGCTGCCGGACCTGCCCGGCGGCCGCCGCCACCGCCGCAGCCGCCGCCGCCTGGCCGGGACTGGCCGCCGGCGGCTGACTGGAGCCCGGCTGGCTGGTCAGCGGGCCGCAGGGCGCGTCGCCGGACGACACGGACGCCGGCGACTCCACACCCAGCTGCGTCACGTCAAACTCGGCCTGCTGGTAGCCGTGCAGCGACTGCACAGAGCTGGTCGTCGAGTCGGGCGTGTAGACGCCAAGGCTGGCCGGGTCGGCGGCCGGCGGACGGGCCGCCGCCGGCGGAGAGCCGGCCCGCTGGCGCGCGCACGACGGCCGCTCCACCGTCGCCTCCGACAGCGCCGGCTCGGGCGGCGGCGCCGCGCGCACCGGCTCCGGCTCGGGCTCGGCGCAGCTCTTGGGCGGCACGGCCGGCGCCGGTGCCCCCGCGGCGTCGCCGCCGCCGGCTTCTCGCTCACTGTTGGTCGCCTCCTTGCGGCCCTGCTCGGCGTCGACGTCAACATCGGCGTCGGCGCCAGCTCGGTGGCCGTTGGTGCCGTCCCCGCCGTCGCCGGCAGCACCGCCGTTAGGTCGGTGGTCGGCGGCGACCGGGCTGGCTGGCGGCGGCTCCGCCTTCCCCTGCTCCTTCTCGGCCATCGCGGCGCCGTCCGGCCGGCTGCCGGCCTGGCCGTGGCGCTCCGCCGCCCCCTCGGCCGTTGCCGGCCCCTTCAAGCTCTTCTCCGCCTCTGTTGGTGTCCGCTGCGGTTCCTCCACAGCTGCGCCGCCCGCCTCCTCGCCGTCGTCGGCCGAGGCGTTCTCCGCCGGAGACGCGGGCGGCTTCGGCGGCGCAGACTCCTCTGCCGTGAGCTCCTCCGCCGCCGGCGCCGACGGCCGTTGGGCCGGCGGCTCCACTGGCGGCTCGGCGGGCGGCTCTGCCGCCTCCTCGGCCGCCTTGACCGGCGCCGGCGCGTCCGGCGACGCGTCCAACACTCGCGACTCGTGCGGTGACTCCTCAGACTCCGGCGTGCCGCCCGACGACTCGGCCGCCACGCTCGTGTTGCTCTCCTCGCTCGAGTTGCTCACGTTGCACTCGTCGTCGGCGCGCGCGGCCGGCGGCGGCGGCGGCGGCGGCAGCGCCGGCGACGCCTCGCGCAGCACCTCCGGCTCGGGGGTGTGGCGAGCGACAGCGGCCGGCGGCGGCGGTGGCGGCGAGCGACGGGCGGCGGCGCGGGCCGCGCGCCGTTCCGCCGGCGTCTCCGGCTCCGGCTGCGTCTCCTGGAGGTCAGGAAACGCGTCACAGCACGGCACGGGACACAGACAGCTGGCCAAGCGGGCAGCGAGCCCGCGGCTTACAATGTGACTGCAGCCTGGGCGGTCCGTTAGGTGCTCATCACATCGGCTACGCGGCATGGCGCGCTCTCATGATGCGAACCACAGAGTCAGGCAGAACTCAGTCTGGATGCTAGGCGTTAGCAACATGTTGATTTTGTTGCTTAAAATGATGGTTGAACGCGTTTCAGGTCTTCGTTATGTACGGAATGATCATCCCATAGCCACAACTAGCCAAATCGAAGGACAACTGAAGCCACTTCACCTCAAGAAACGGGCCAATGCACCGTTTTAGCACATGGCACAGTCATTGGCCGGCTAATCCACCCTCCTATTTAGGTAGACTTTTGCCTACTCAAATCGTTCGCATCACCGGCCGACAGAAACACACAAAAGACAGCTGACACTCCATCATCACGGCCTAGTCCACAGCCAGCCGCCTCGTTCACATCCGGCCACCTCGTTCACAGCCAGCCGCCTAGTTCACAGCCAGCCGCCTCGTTCATAGCCGGCCGCCTCAGGCACGGCAGGTATGAGGCGGCCGAGCGGCGATGCCGTCTGCGCAGCGGCGGGCGGCGCAGTCGCGGGCCCTCTTACCTGCTCCTCCACGGCCGTCGGCTCCTCGCACTTCGGTTGCTGCTGCTGCGCCGGTGGCGACGGCTGCGGCGGAGGCGACGACGGCGGCTGCGGCTGCTGCTGCGGCGACTGCTGCTCGGTCGGCGGGTCCGCTTTCTCGTCGGCAGCGACCTTCTTCGGCACCTTGGCCGCTCGCTTCTGCGGCTTCGGCTTCTTCTGCGGAGCACGAGTAGTCTGAGCAATTGGACAGAACAGGGTCGGGTCACGGTTCATTGACAGGATCTGTGGGTACCGAGTCGACCTACAAACGCCACCGACAACTAATGCCACACTGGATATAATCCCTGCAGTCATCGAGGTGCTCATTTACAAGCCAAGCTCACACAACCTAAATGAGCAATGGCCGCGCCCCAGAACACCAGCCAACGCGAGCATGACGCAACCTCACAGGACGTTCCAGCGAAGCACCAATATGAAAGGGTTTATGACGTGACGTCACATAAAACGCCGCCGACCATCGCCGGCACTTGCGACAGACTTCATTTGGCAGTCGTCACGGAGGCCATCCAGTGCTTGCGATGAGCTTATCAACATATGTAATATCATATGTAAGCCGCCATATGTAACGAATCATGTCAAAGCCTGCCCAACGTATATATAAACCCGCGTGGAGCGGTGACCTTCAGATGTCCGCGCAGTGCATCGCAAATAAGATAGCACTGCATCCCTCGCCAAGCACGTGAGCTCTATTCAATCCATCCTCGCCCCCACCGAGCCCCTGCTGGCTGTGTCCCTTTCCCTTCCGCCCCCCCCCCCCCCCCCACCCCGCTCCCAGCACCACGTACGGTGTTGCCGGGCCGGCCGCGCTTGGCCTTGCCCCACTTGCGGAAGGTGCGGCCGCGAGGCACGCCCTTGGGCCAGCCACGCTTCTTCTTGGGCGGCTCGGCCGGCGGCGGCGACCCCTCCTGTCGGCAGACGGGGTCAAAGTCAAACGGCGTCAGGTCAGACAAGTTCAGGGGTCACACAAGGTCAGAGGTCAAATGAGGCCAGATGTCAGACGGGGTCAGAGGTTAGACGGGTCAGGGGTCAGGAGTCAGACGAGGTCAAGGGTACGAGGTCAGGCCGGCTCAGGGGTCAGCCAGTGTCAAGGGAAAGATGGGGTCAGAGGTCAGGCCAATTTCTTCACATCGATGCCATTCATTCACTCATTCGGCGCGGGGGGGGGGGGGGCGGCCGACGACACGAGCCAGCAGCAGCTGCTCCCGCGCCGCCGTCGGTGGTCGGCCGGCCAGCCTCACCTTGCCATCCGCCGGCGGCTGCGGCTCGGGCTCTGGCTTCGGCTGCGTCTCCGGCTCGGGCTTCGGCTCTGGCTTCGGCTCAGACTTCGGCTCGGCCCCGTGCCTGGCGTCGGCCGGCGACTCGGCCGGCTCTGGCGAGGGGTGACGCCGCCGCTGCGGCCGCGCAGACACCGCCGGCGCCGGCACCGACCTGACCCGGCAACAGCACACGTCAGGGCGACAGAGTCGGAACGCACGCACGCGGCCGGCTGACGGGCCAGCAAACAACAGCGGCCGAGCTCGTGACCCGGCCGTCCCCAGGCTCGAGCCGGGACGGGGCGGGACGCTGGTTCCACCATTCCCAACAACGATCAGGAGGTTGTGGCGGCTAACCAACACATGCCTCAATACATGATCCAGCAGAGCATCCCTATGCAAACAAAACAACATTCCCCAATGAATTGCCATTCGATGCATTCAAGACGGGTCGGGTGGCTACCATTCGGTTTCGTAGCGATGCCGCTGGCACAGAGCCGCGAGCCACAGAGGCATTGGCCGCGACGGCTGGCCGGTGGGACGAACGGCACACAGCACGCAGCACACAGCCTGCTGTCACCGGCGAACCAACAGCGACGCCAAGCGGCCTCACCCACTAACGGCTCCACAGCAGCCGCCAAGAGCCAGCGCTTACCGTGTGGAGGCGGCGGCGCCGCGGCGACCGCGGCCGGCGCCGCGTCCCCGGCCCCGGCCGACACGGACCGGCGGCGGCGGCGGCTCGCTGGCCGCCTCGGCCCGGCGGCCACCGCGCCGGCCGGGGCCGCCCCGGCCGCGGGCCCGCCCTCTGACCACCGGCCCGCGCGGGTGCTCCTCCCGCTCGCCGCCAGAGTCCGAATCAGAGTCAGACTCAGACTTTGGCTCCGCCTCCGTCTCACGCCTCGTCTTCGGCTCCGGCTTGGTCCTGGATTCGGACTTGGCCTTGGATTCAGACTTGGTCTTAAGCTCAGATTTAGTCTTCAAGTCGGACTTGGTCTTCAAGTCGGACTTGGTCTTCAAGTCGGACTTGGTCTTCACGTCCGACTTAGTCTTCAAGTCCGACTTGGCCTTGACGTCGGCCTTAGCCTTGGATTCCGACTTCGCTTTCGATTCGGCCTTGGTCTTCAACCCAGCCTTGGCCTTGGCTTTGGCCTTCGCCTTGCTCTCCGCCTTAGTCTTCGGCTCCTTGGTCGCGCCCTCCGACTTGCTCTTGGACTCAGACTTGGCCTTGCCGCCCACCTCTGGCCTGGCCCTGCCATCAGCGTCCCTCTGCCGCTTGCTCTTGCCGCCGCCGGGCTGCACGCGGAACGCCATCATCTCCTGCAGCTTGGCCTGGCGGGGCCGGTTGAGCGGCCGCGCCACCGGCGACTGCGGCGAGCTCGCACGCGCCGGCGTCCTCTTGGCGGGGGCCGCGCGCCGCTCCTCCTCCTCCTCGCCGTCGCCCTCGGCCGACGACTCGTCGCGGTCAGGGCTGCCGGCCGCCGACGCCTTGCGCTTGGCGGTGCGGCCGGCCGGGCGCCGCTCGGCGCGCGCCGGCCGGGCCGCCGCCGGCGGCGAGGCCGGCCGCGCCGGTGCCGGCGGCGGCGACGGCGACGGCGGCGGCGGCTCGTACGCGGGGGAAGCGGGCCGCGCCGCCGGCCGCAGCTTCAGCGGACTGACCGACTTGCGCGAATCGCTCTCGGACGCGTCGTCGTCCTGTCGGCGGGAGGGTCGTGTCACGTGACGAGCGGCGGCGCACCCCCGCCGAGCCGGGCCGCGGCGGACTCTGGCGCACGCCACGCCCGGGACTCGCCGCCGACGGACGACACAATGACCGGTACAAAGCGCTCGCCGGCCGGCAACGGCAGCTACCGATCCTTCCGTTACACGCAGACAGCCCACACGAACATTGTAGCTAGCAAACGCAAAACTAGTTGACACCCACACACATCAGTTCAGTCTGTAACTCTGAGCGCACCAGGGGGCGGAGGCTGTTCGCCAGCCTCTATACCATGAGCGATCCGTGGGGCAACACAGACAGGTGCACACCCCGACAGGCGGCGCCAATCGGGCCGCGTGCGTCCGGCCGGATCGGGACAGAACAGCCGGCCGCCGCCGACGGCGCCTGGCCACTGACCGCGTGAGACCGGTGGGCATGGCCGGAGAGCAGCGGCGTCCAGCGCAGACAGTCGGGGTCCAGTGGCAGCCGGGTGGTGCTGGAGGCCACGCGCCGGCCGTGCTCCTCCACCACCGCCCAGTCGATGCTGAGTACACACGTCCTGAGGACATACCCACGGCAAGGCTGTCACAGCCCGCCGCCGGGTCGCGGGGGACGGCCGATCGCCCGATATAGCCGCCCATATACGGCCCATCGATCGATAAAGCCAATCTAGCCGACGCTGAGGCCACAGCAAACACGGCCGGCGTCGCTCCAGTGACCACCGCCGACCGATCTGCCCCGGCCGGCGGTGCTGGCGCCGATGGTCCGGCCGCCCCGCCACAGACGCCGTCTGAGCTCTCTCCCGAGCAGCAGCCAGTCACGGACAGAGCGTCTCCAGCGACACGAGGCTCCATCTGCACCGGCTGCGAGACACAGTGCGTCTGCCGGCTGGGTGAGAGCGGAGCCCACCCCGCCCCGTCCCGCCGTCGTCCTCACCTGCCCTCGGGCGCCGTCCGCAGCATGTCGAGCAGGTGCAGCGCGGTGCACACGTCCTGCGGGTGGATGCCCGTCTCCTCCATGATCTCGCGCACCAGCGGCCGGCTGCCGGCCGCCGCCCGGTGCCGGTACAGGTACTCCAGCACCACCGAGCGCCAGTAGGCGTGGTACGACACCCGGCCCAGGTCGCTGAGCGGCTTCTCGGGCGTGCCCGGTTGGCCCTCGGTCCGCGACAGCAGGTAACCTGGCGGGGCAGGCGCGCGCGCGCGCGGCGCCGTCAGCGTCAGGGGGCGCCACGTGCGCGCCGGCGCCGCTGCTGGCCGCCGATGCACCGCCGGTGACTGTAGCCGAGCGCTGGGGCCTCTCCCGGGGCGGGGCCACATGGACAGAGCGTGTGCACACGTGTCCTAATCTTGATCTGCGACGACATGCACTCGGGTGGACGGAGGCGCCCGAGATGCATCACTGACGCGTCAGGTATCCAAGCAAGCATGGCACGTTCAGCACAAGAGCAGTGCACATCGGCCATAACACAAACAACCTGTTCACTGAACGCAATCACCAGCGCCATAACCCGACCTCTACGGCTCGTCTTACGATGTGAACACATCACGTCAGCACACACACGGGCAGCCCCAGGTCCGTGCTGGCGCGCACACGAACGCTCCACGTCGTAGCCGGCGAGCCCGTCCGGCCGCAGCGGCGCCAGCGCAGACCCCAGCGGCCGGGTCTGCTCGCGGCGCCGCCGGGGTCAGCCGACGGGACCTGGCCCCACGCCTGCCGCCACCCACTCACTGAAGTCGATGAGGAAGCGGCCGAAGCCTTGACGCTGGTAGTGCGGCATGGTCATGATGCACGACACGTTGTACTTCTGCGAGCAGTGCTTCTCCTTGGAGAAGTAGCCCACCAGGTGGCAGCCCTGGGGCGAGGCGGTGACGTCACACGAGGTTCAGCAGCCCACGGTCGACCCTGGACGCTCCCTAAACCAACCACACGAACACTAGGTGCCAACACCAGGGCGGTTTGCCATTATTAACTGGACATGACAGCTTGCACACCGCTTGCACCCGAATTCTGCGCCCGATACACAAGTGCGTGCCTAGAAGCGACGCGACTTCTGTATGCCAGCATCGTTAAGATAACAGCCACACGAAACAAGCGCTGGCCACCTGCAACGCTTCATATACCATCACAAAAGCACAAGACATCGCACAAGCACGACAAGCGACTGCACAAGCACGGTGAGCGATCGCACCACGGCAAAAAGCAGTCACAACAGCCTGATAAACGAGCACACAAACACGTCAGCGCCGTTACGCAAAGCGGTACGCCATCGCGACCACAGCAAGCGACTACACAAACACAAAAAGACACACAAACACATCAGCACCGTTACGCAAAGCGGTACGCCATCGCGCGACCACGGCAAGCGATCGCACAAACACAAAAAACACACAAACACAGTCAGCGCCGTTACGCAAAGCGGTACGCCATCGCGCGACCACAGCAAGCGACTACACAAACACAAAAAGACACACAAACACATCAGCGCCGTTACGCAAAGCGGTACGCTATCGCGCGACCACGGCAAGCGATCACACAAACACAATGAGACATCACACAAACGCAGGCGACCCCTGACGACGCCACACGCAGCCGCACCAGCGCGAGGACCGCTCTGGCCGGGCCGGCCGCCGCGTCAGGCGCACCTTCTTGTCGTTTCTGGTGAGCACGTAGAACAGGAACGGCTCGACGTCGTAGTAGAGCGTCTTGTGGTCCAGGAACAGCTTGGCCAGCAGACACAGGTTCTGACAGTAGATGCGGTTGACGTTGCCGTCCACCTCGAACACCTGAGGGAGGCGCAGCCGGCCGAGGTCATGGGTCAGCGGGTCAGGCCGAGATCAGGGGCGAGCCAGGGTCAGAGAGTGACCGAAGTCATCTACACTGACGCTGCCGTCTACCTCGAACACCTGGCGGAGGCGCAGCCGGCTGAGGTCAGGGGTCAGCCGGGGGCAAGCCGAAATCAGTGGCGAGCCAGGGTCAGGGGGTCATCGAGGTCATCTACAATGACGGACCGGCGAGGCGGCAACCCTCCCCTTGGCAACCTCCGACAAACGGTCTGTCTTGAGGCCTTAAACTAGCGCCACTCACCGGGACGCTCCTAAAACGGTACATCCGGTGCCGCCCACAGAGAACCTGACGCGGCAGCGGACCGCGCAGCATTACGTCCCGTCTGCTCGGCGCCACCCCCCACACGGGCTGCTGCACCCGACACCCACCGAGAGACTGTTGGAGCGGTAGATCTCCGTGCCGGGCGGGTGGCGCCAGACGCACTTGCTGGCGTGGCGCTTGCGGCAGCCGCTCGACTTCATGTACTTAAGGCAGAACTCGCACAGGTACAGCTTGGGCAGCCTGCCGCACACACAGACGGGTCAGCAGCGGACCAGACCAGACCAGACCAGACTTAACTAGACCAGACCAGACTAGACTTAACTAGACCAGACCAGACCAGACCGGATCAGGCCAGACCGAACCAGACCGGACCGGACCGGACTGGACTGGAGCGGCCAGTCCCTCTCCCAACTAAAATACGCAGTCAGTCCCGCGGAGTCCAAGTTCCACCGTCTGGCGGGGCATCACCGAACTGCACGAGGAGACGACAGCTGACACTCTCGTGGCTCTCGAGCGCGCGCCAGTTAGAGACATGACCAGCTGCCCATCAACCGACAGCATTTAAGCTCCCCGTCCCCCTCCCAGCGCTCATCGTACGAATGCAAATGCGCGACACGTGAGCGTCCAACTGCTGTCTGATAGCTGATGCCAGGGTTGCAGGCTTTATAATCAGGTACCTATCACTGCCCATACACAAAAAACCCGCTATCAGCGACGCCGCCTCAGGCTGCCGGCAACCCTGCAACAACGACGCCTTCTCGGGCCGACGGCCTCAACGACCCACCCCTGCGAGCGGGGCGGGTGGCGACGCCTCACTGACCTGGCGTACTCCTGCGGGTAGGGCGCCGAGTACCAGGTGCTGATGTGGTGCCGGCCGAACTGGATGGCGGCCGGCGAGCGGTCCGCCGAGCCGTCGCCGCCGCCGCCCGTCACCTGCCCGAAACACTGCCGTGTTGGCCGCCGGTCAGACAGCGAGCGGGGTGACAGCGCGCCGCCCTCCTCTCCGGCGCAGGCGCCGCCCCCAGCGGGGAGCGCACTGAAGTGCGCAGCGTCAGCCAAGCCCGCCAGCCGGCCGCCGCCAGACCGCCCCGTCAGGCCAGGCTGTTACAGTGCGGCCCTGTGCCGTGTACAGAGTGCTGTTTATTGGGTTATTGGCATTATAACCGTTCAGGTCCGGGAAAAAGCACCGCCGGAGATGTGTGTGCAAAACAAACAAGCGACAAACACGTACATGCTGCGGTACAGCTCAGGCGCTTGTGAACAGCAACACCCAAAGAAGAAGGCAGGCAGAACGGAGAAGCTTTGCGAGAGTCAGCTGGTGAGAGTGTGAGCCGATCGGCTGATGAAACGGTAACCTGGTGAGAGGCGATGTGGAGACCCGAGAGGTGAGCAGGCTGCACTGATGGTGAGAGAACAGACCAGTGACGGTGAGCTGGCGACAAAGCCATCCGATGCGGGGGTGGACGAGGAATGGCCAGAGAGAAGGCTGCTTAACCGTGAACGGGCTGATCTAGTCGGCTAACCGTGGACGGCTGATCTCGTCAGCTGATCGTGGACGGGCTGATCTAGTCAGCTGACCATGGACAGGCTGATCTAGTCAGCTGACCATGGACAGACAGATCTAGTCAGCCGACCATGGACAGACTGATCTAGTCAGCTGACCGTGGACGGAACCGTGGACGGCTGATCTAGTCAGCTGACCGTGGACGGCTGATCTAGTCAGCTGACCATGGACGGGACCGTGGACGGCTGATCTAGTCAGCTGGCGGGAGCGGACAGGTTAGAGTGGGCAGCTCGAGCCGCGCCTCCCGCGCTCCTGCGTCGGCTACTGACCTCGTTGACCTGGGCCTTGGCCTTCTTGAAGGTGAGCACGTCGCGTTCGGTGACCCCCGGCGGCAGTTTGGCCTGAGACCGGATGGAGGCCTCGGTCGGGGGCTGACCTGCGGTGCGACGGAGAGGCGGCGGTCAGGTGCCCGGGCATACAACATAAGCCGGGGGTCGAACCAGGCCCAGCCGGCCGGCACGCGTGAACGCCTCGCTTACGTCGGGGCCGACACTGCCATTACATCAGACCGGGGTCAGGAATCAGGACCGGATACCACGGAACATGCCAGGCAAGGAGTGACGAGACCGTCTGACTTCAATGAGAGCAAAACGCTGAGGCCTGACAAGCCGCGCCAGGCTCCCCGACAGAGGCAAGAGCCGCACCGGGCGGAGGTCGGCGACATCATAGCATGGGGTCACACGAGGTCAGACGCGCGGTCCGGGGGCATACACAACAAAACCTGTATCAAACCAATGGAACAAACTGTAGCGCGTTAGTCCCACTCTTTGGATAAACAGGAGCGCAGCGTACGCACAGAGCAGCGTGGAACAGTTTACACGGGAAGACATCTCAGTGAGGCGTCAATAACGGACAGCAAGGCTAACAGCCACCTGAACTAGTTCGGGTTAAATACATGCATGCCGAAGCGCGTCAGCCGTGCCAGCCCGTAACCGAAGAGCAGACATGCGAGAACAATGTTCTACTCACCACGTCCTAACGCAGAAACGCATGCCGGCAGGCAGACGACAGTCATTTCCGCCAGACGCAACATAAAACTTCCAACGCCAAGATATTGCCACTTTGAAAGCGAAGCCCATTTCCGATCGGCCAAACTTAGACGCCAGGATCTGTTACCGCTTCCAACAGAACAGCCGTCACCGCGCCAGTCCAGGGCACAAAAGACGCGCGCACCCGGCCCCGCCAAGCCAGGTACAGCAGGCCGACGGCGACATGACAAACGAGCCCCTCTCCGCGCTGACGGAGCGCCACTCCGTATCGTTCAGAGTTATGGGGTCACGGTTTTGAGGAGCGTCCAACTTTTCTGACGACCAAGCGAGCTCCCGCGATGACGGCTGCGTCACACACGCCATGGCGGAGAGGGCCCCGAACGGCGTCCTCTCCACACGGGTGGGAGGTGCGCACGAACGGCAGGCCTCCGTAGCGGAGCCCCTGTCGGAGCGTCAACGGCCTACCGTTCACATGCTCTCCACAGATCGACCTCGAGCGCGCGGCAGCAACAAACTCCAGATGAGACCGCAATCTATCAGGACAATACCCGGCCAATGTAAGAAAAGGACACGGCATGACGTCACCTCATCAGCAGCCAATCAGCGGGGGGCGAGACGGTCCAGGGCCCGCTCAGTTACTGCTAGCCGGGTACGATAACTTCTCGCATCTAACGTCCGCCTCGCTGGGCACACGGTGCTACTGATAACATACGGCTCACAGTAGCAGTACAGACCATCAAGCATGCCAAAACTGTCGCAAGAAGCAGAATATCGCCTTACGAGTAAGGCGCTGCGGTACAAAAAACGGACCGCGGGCTCCGCGTACCAAGCATGCATCAATAAACACACCAGCACACATACACAGATGAACCAAAGCCAAGTTGTCATGCCAGGTTAAGTGCTGCCAGTCTCCATGCACTGCGTGAACGCCACACCAAGCGCGTGCCTGAAGCACGGGTGCCCGTCGCGTGGCTTCGGCTTCCGCCAGGCGTCGACTGCGCCGCCGGCCACCTACCGTCCACAGAGGGCGCCACGAGCAGGTGTGGCTCGCCGAGCCGGCCCCTCGCCCAGTGACGCCGGCTCCACCTCCGCGCCGGACAGCGACGACGACGCCGCCGCCACCGCCGCCGCCGCCGATCGCGGCCGCTCGCCCGCCGGCGGACTGCCCACCGCCGGTGCCGCCGGCCGCGCCGGCTGCTGCAGCGGTGCGGGTGGCGGCGGCAGCGCCGGCGGGGGCAGCGGAGGCGGCGGGGGCGCCGGCGCCGGCGGCGGCGGCGGCGAGCCGGCCTCCCAGCTGGGCGAGCGGCCGCACGGACTGCCGGGGCCCGAGCGACGGCCGGGGCTGGTCGGCCCGTCGCCGCTCGGCTCGCCGGTCGGCCGCCGCTGCCGGCCGGCCGGCGCCGAGTAGCTGCTCGGCCGCTCCCGCTTCCTGCCGTCGCCGGTGGTGAAGAGGTGACTGAGGCCGTCGAACAGACCGCGCAGCTGTCCGCCGCCGGGCGCCGCCAGACCGCCGGCGCTGCTGCGCGACGACGCCGACGACATGCCTGACGAGCTCTGCTCCTCGGGCGTGCCGGCGGCCGGCGCCGCCGCCTGCGGCCGCCGACGGCCGGGCGGCGGCGGCGCCGGCTCGCCGTCGCTCGAGCACGGCGACGCTGAGCCGCCGCCACTGTCGACGCGCCGGCGGCCGGGTCGGCCGGCCGGTGCCGGGGCGCGGCCGTATTTGCTCGACTTGCCCGGCTGTGCGGCGGCCGGCGGCGGCTCGCCGTCCGACTCCAGCGACGACGAGCTGGCATCGTCGCCGGCAGAGTCGACGCTGCTCTGGCGCGGCTTGTAGCGCTTCTTGGGCCGCGAGCGACGGCTGCCGGGCAGAGTGGGGGACGGCATGAACCGGGGGAGGTGCCGGGAGCACGAGCAGAGGCACACACTGCGCCACATACGATTATACACGGTGGGGTCCAGAGGCTGCACATGTAGGCGACTTTGGTGCGGTTGGACCCCAGACCGGCCGCAGTTCAGGCGGTCTATAATACGTCTACGTGTCTGCAAGTCGATCACATTTCTAACAAATTATCTGCGTCAATCCCGACTCGCACCAAGTCAGCTGTTCCTCCTCGACACGCCGCCGGCAGTCTCGCCGTCAGCTACATCCAGCCCGACACCACTAACCGCAGCGAGGCCGTGTGAAACGGCGGCGCGGTGACCAGCAACGACCCGTCTAAAACGGGCTCCACTCGTCCCGACCACAAGCCGGCCCGGGGCTCCACCGTGGGTCTCACACTGTAATCACCGGCCGGGCGGGAGCGGCGCCGGCACGAGGGCGGGTTCGCGGGCGGCCGCTGCCGCCTCTCGCCGCCCCTCGGCGTCCCTCTCACCTGCTGCCGCTGGTGCTCCGTTTCCGTTTCTCCGCCAGACTGAGCGTGAGGCCGGCGGCGGCGGCGGCCGAGTGGGCGGCGCCCGTCGAGCCCGGACGTCGGCAGACCGGGCAGAGCCAGCCGGCCGTCGGCGGCCGGCCCTCCACGCAGCCGCGGTGGTACACCCGCCAGCACTGGCTGCACGACGCCACACGCTCCGGCTGCGGCGCACAGGTCACACACAGGTCACACACAGGTCGCCCGGGGTTACAGGGACCGACGGCCGTCACGTCACGTCACGGAAAGGCGCTGCTAACGGTCCGGCGGCGGCGCCGCAGCAGTGACGAGGCGTCACCTTGTGACTGCTGGCCGCGGCTGACCGCCTGGCCGCGACCCGCCGAAGACAGAGCGCTCCTCAGCGGCTGCGGAGTCGCTGCCACAGCGGGCGGCTCGACCGCGGCGTGCAGACAAGGACAAACGTCTCACGCGTGATCTGGATAAAGACGGCAGTAGAGCTGCCCAGTATACACCACCTGCTGCGACAGAGGAAGAAGGAAACGGAGGCGGAAGTGCGGCCATCACACTTCGGCTCGACTGCAAAATGCGAACGATGAGGCGTTTCATACAGACACACAGATCGTGTGACACAAGAACTGGACAGTGCATACACACAATTTGAGTGTTATTTGCCGTGACGGGAGCTGACACGAAGAAGTCACAAAGAACACCATCCTATTGTGTCATACGCCACCGACCAGCATCACAAGCCCAGCCTATGATGCCCCTGACATCAGACGCCCACTCGCACCACCACAAGCCCGGCTTCTCGCCAGCTCCGAGCCAAACACTGCAGCACAACATCCACATCCAAAGCCCGCCTCACCCGGCATACACACACAGTTCCCCGGCTCCCTCCGTCGGCGGCGCCTGGACCGCGCGCGCCGTCACGTCACGCGGATCTCCGACACGCCGCCTGCCCACCGCCGGGCCCCGGTGACGGCTCAGTCGCCGCCTGTTTGGAGGGCCGCTCGCAGCGCCTCGTCGATTGATTGGACCATTCACAGGTCATCTCACGTCAATTACGCCCCAAACACGCCGCTCGGCGCCGGGCCAGCCGGTGCTGCCGCCGGGCCGGCTGTCACCGCGGCCCTGTTGCCAGGCGGGGTCAGGTGGCCGCCGCCGCCGCCGGCTGGCTGGTGCCCCCTCCCCTGCCAACGTCCTCCCGATGGTCCCACAGCCAGGACGGCGGCCGGCTGCTGTCCCTCCGCTGCCAACGTCCTCCCGATGGTGCCACGGACAGGACAGCGGCCGCCTGCTGTCCCTCCGCCGCCCATGTCCTCCCGATGGTGCCACGGACGGAACGGCCGTCTGGCAGCCGCCGAGGCATGGCCAACGGCTCACGGCTTGGCCTGTCGTCCCCAGGCGTTGCCGCCTGCAGCGCCCATCACCACTCGCCAGACACCTGACAGCAGCGTGGACCAACAGCAACAGTGGACACTCTTCGTCCCGCAGCGCCAGACGCTGACTGTTCCATGAGCCACGCGGCCGCTGTTTTTCTATCGGAGGCTAGGCGGCGCACGTGGCTACACCAACAGTTACGGAGCGCTGGACCACGGTGGTCATATTCGCGCAGTGACCGCAGCCTCAGCCTGGAATCCATCCCACGCCTCTCACGCGGAAATCAGCTCAACTGCGTTATCGTAAGGATGAACCGTCCCAACACATGGGCCGTAGAAGCCACTTGTATGTAAAATTAATTACTAGTCGATTTCGTTTGAGCTCAGTCGTTGATGAAAGGGCGAGCCAGTGAAACTGCACATTACAAACCGCGTATGTCGTACTTAGGCTGCATGAGCCTGGCCCCAGGTGTCATTACGTCACCGAACGGACCCGCCATGAGTGATGACGTCTAAAATGCACGGCCATTGACAGGCCGTCATTACCGGCCACAAATTACCCCTATTAGTCGCCACAGCTCCACCATTATCACTGCTTGTCGAGCCATGAAACCTCTGCAGCGGATAACTGGCCCGCGTGCCTCCCGCTGCTACCGCTCGGTATCTGTACAGCCGTGATACGGAACCAAAATAACGTCACGTGCAGCACATATTGCTCTTTATCTCCCGCCCGCCGCTTCGGCCGCCAGAGCCAGTATCGCGGTCTTTCAGCACGGGTCACGAACGCCAGCGATAACCCGGCTTGTGCTAAGGCTGTCGTCGACACACAGCTGCAAGGCTGGCGCCCGTTACCCGAGTACAAGAAGCCGGAACATTAATGTATTATGCATTCGTGCATGGTAAGAGAGGCGTTTGCAGGCATAATGTTCTGTATCGACGCATTCGCAGACGGATTGTTTGACGCAACATACGGCGCACCCGTTTACATGTTTTGCAAAGCACTTGCAAGCCGGTGCGGACTTCAAATGCCGGAAGCGCGACGGGTCAGTTTTCACAGGCTCCAAACGTGGCAGCCCTGTGGTTGCCAGCACTGATCGCAGACCGAGCCGAGCCCCGGCGCTGGAGCACGACCCAGCCGGGTCGGAGCTGCGGCCGGACTAGCACGCGCGCTCGCTCGCTCCTGATCGTTCCACCCCGCCTGCTCTTCCAACAGGAACATCTACCCCGTCTGCTCGTTCAACAGGAGCACAGGCTAAGCCTCAGAGATCAGCCAACTCCTCGTTGGCGTGTCCATGGGCAGGCCCGTCCGTGGCTAAGCACCTGAGCTACTACAAATGGGCTGGCTGATCTGGGCTAATCGCGGCACCATACAAGCCAAACATTTTGAATCCCGATGATGCCGTTTTCCAAACATCATGTAATGTGCGGTATTATTAAGTGGGTCTCGGGTTCTTGGTTCTAAGCAATGGTGTACATCTCAATTTAGGGGAAAGGAATTTTATGAAATTATCAGTTCAGTGTTCTTATGCTGCGTGAAAGATAACATTTCATAGATATCTCAACTGCGTCCAGAGCCGTGCTCATTGACGGAAAGGTCAGTTTGTGTGGGGGTATGTTGTGGAAAACGACCATGCGGCCAGTGGTATTCTTCACGGGTCATGCCCGACATGCAGACGCTTGAGAAGGTCCCGCACCGAGGCTTCCAGACAGACACCAGGACGCCACCGCACGAGCGCGCACCAATAACAGCCAATAACTCACACTAGCAACAGCCAACAGCTCATACCAACAACAGCCAACAGCTCACACCAACAACTCACATCAATAGCTCACATCAGCGGCCAACAACTCACACCAACCGCCCAACAGCTCACGCCAACAACTCACATCAACAGCCAACCACTCACACCAGCAAGAGCCAACATTTCACACCAACAGCTCACATCAACAACTCACACCAACAGCCAACAACTCACACCAACCGCCAACAGCTTCACACCAACAACTCACTTCAACAACGCACACCAGTAGCCAACAACTCACACCAACAGCCTCACACCAACAACTAGCACCAACAGCTGACACCAACACCAGAAGCGAGAACACCTCTAGCAGCAAGACTAGAAGTGTTCAACAACTTTAATCAGTTGGAGCTCTGCTGGAGAGCTGGTCACGGTTCACGCATGGCACGGATCCCCCGGCACGCATGGCACGCCTGTCGCAGCTGCCCGGTCGGTCACTTCCGCGGGGACGCTCAGTGGACCATCAGGGACCATCAGTGGACCATCAGCTCAGGGGACCATCAAACCCCCGCTACCACAGCTGACCCTGCCCGCTGACATGTCACTGACACCGGCCCGCTGACACGCCCCCAGGTCGGGCGCGCGGCCGCCAGCTGGCCTCGCAGCTCCGCCCCCTGAGGCCGACCCCCCGACACTGACACACTGACACACTGGTACACTCCCACTGGCACTGACCTGGTCGACGGGCTGCTGGCAGGCCTCGCACGTCTGACACTCGTCGCAGACCCAGTGGGCGGCGCGGGTGGCGCGCGCGCCGGCCGCCGCGCGCAGGCAGGAGGGGTGCACGGCCGCGCGACACCGCTGGCAGCTGACGAACGGCTCGCCGCTCGGTCCGGCCGTGCCCAGACACTCGGTGCACACGTTCATGTGCGACGGCGCCTGCGGGCGCGACGCACAGGTCAGAGGTCAGAGGTCACGCGGCCGGGCGCGGCCACAATCGCGCGCCTCTGTGCGGGGCGGCGCCCGCGGACAAGGCGCAGAGGTCAGGGCCCGCGGGCAGCAGTGGCGCGGTCGCCACCAGCAAAAGGTGGGCGCGTCTTGTTTGGGAGGCTTGTTGGAGGTCACGGGGCCTGTCATGCAGCTATGACACCTCCCCCGGCAGCCCATTGTGTACCTCGCTGACGGGGCGGCACGCTGGGAGATCATTATTTACATTTGAAAGGTGACGCGGTAGCAAGGCATGCTATTGTTCAGGTGCCAACAACAACGTATCTCCCTGATCTGTGTGGTAATGACGCTCCAGAAGCACTCCGTTGCTCAGAAGTGCCTTTACAAGATATGAAATTGCCACTTGTTCGGGTCTGGGGAGTGTCGTGCTCACTACAGCTCCATGTTACAGTGAACGGCCTTGTCCAAACTAACGCGGGCTTCATGTGAATAGGTCACAGTGAAGACCTTGTCCTACCTAACGCGGGCCTCAGGTGATTAGGTCACAGTGAAGACCTTGTCCTATCTCACGCGGGCCCCAGGTGTAAACAGGTCACAGTGAACGGCCTTGTCCTACCTCGCGCGGGCCTACCAGGTGATTAGGTCACAGTGAAGACCTTGTCCTATCTCACGTGGAATGAATGTCCTATCTCTGATGTCCTATGTCTGATGATGATGACCGTAGGCCTGACCTCTGATGCCTCAAATGTCCTATCTCTGAGTCCGCCGACCCAGAGAGCGTCAGCGGACCTTGCAAGAGGATCGAGGGCGCCGACTATGGTCCACGGAAGTCGAGCACCCACGCAGCAGTGTCGGTGCTTAGAAGGTAATACCTATTTTAGCATTTGAACGTGCCCCAGGCCGAGTACAATAACGGCTCCACAACTAACTGCGGGATCTATGTCAAAGTCCGCGGCTACTGCGGGATCTATGTCAAAGTCCATGTCCAGAAGACCCCATCGGGGCTGCATGGCGTAACTGCCGCGGCTACTGGTGCATAGCGTTACCAGAGCTCATCTCAGGCCTTTCGTAGTTACTAATGCGTTCAGACGGCGGCAACGCTTACACGAGCGATATGCCACGCACGCCGACATGAGCAGTCCTCAGCACCGAGGCAAGGTCGCTCGTGGCGCTGCTCCTCTCATCACATCCTCTGAGTTGTACTACCATTCTCTAAACTAGTGTGGGATTAGAGGATCATCCATGATCTACCATGCGGTATAAAAATTGGCGGGTCGCGTGCAAACACGAAGCACGAGTGCGGCTATTTTGCGAGGACAGACAAAAATAATCACCTTACAATAGCTGAGTGTAAATCCACGTGCTCGCTTCTATGTCTGGTGGCCGTTCATGTTTATTTCCACCAACAGACCTTTTTACTCATAAGTCACGCGACTGTTCCCCTTCATCCCCCCCCCCCCCCCCCCACACACACACACCACTCACAGTTCGGTTCGGTTCATCAGTTCTCCTGCCCCCCAAATTTCGCAGAATTCGCCGCGCAGAAGCCAGCGGCCGTCGGCTTCGGCTGCCGCCATCGCCGTCATCCACACTCCCTGCACCAGTGTTCTTTTGGAATATTCTGATACAGCAGCGCTAGATAGCAGCGCCAATGGCTGTCGGAGTGCAGTAAGTAGGAACGACACACAATATGACATACGTATATGTAGATATACATAAACATATCTGATTTTTTCACTAATTTCCGCTCACATTCCGGGCGAACTGCAACCGTTCACAACTCGCGACCTTCGTCTGCAAGGTCCGATGACCATCAGAATGAAGCAGCCTTGCAACGGGCACGGCTTTGGAAAAACAACACGGGTAACGGACGCTCAACCGCTCACTTGAGACAGGTCTCGCTCTATATGTGTCGCGTGCTGATGTTCGGCAGCGTCAGTCATTTAAACGCCGCTCCATCGCGCGGCTTCAGCCGATATTCACGGCTGCTCCGTCCAGCGCGACACCGTGCGACAGCAGGCCCCGGTCTCGGCTGTCCCGCCGCCGGGCCGTCACGCGACTAACTGACACTCCCAGCTGCTTCACCTGGCCAACAGCATGCGACCGCGCGTGCCGGTCACAGTTGTTCCATCACCGCGGCAGCGTGACACGCGGCAGCGGCCCACCGTTTGCTCTTGCCTCCGCTGTGACGTCACACAGCTGCAACCGAGAGCGGCTGCCCTCGCGCCGGCTGGCCCGGCCTCCGCTGGCCTCTGCGGCCGCCCAGTCCGTGATCGGATCACGCTCATCCCGACCCATGATCGCCTCAGCTGGCGCCGGCCGTCGGGTCCCCACCCGGTACGGGGTGGCCCGGGCGGTGACCAGTTAGACGCCGCACCGGCGTGGCGGCGCTCGAGCCATGCCTCGCAGCCCCGGACGGAGCGGTGGCCCGCTACATTCCGCCCATGGATTTATGCTGACGGCATCTTGATACAAGTTTAGGCCGAGTCTGCGCATGTCACCGTTGACATGTCAGCTCGCTGGTCACGGACCGTCCAGCGGGCATCCGTCAAAGACGGACGTTCCAGCCATGCCGGCGAATATTTAGCAACCGGCCGGCACGGTGAGCTCCTGAAAGCCCTGCATGACGCAAGCTGCTATCACCTGCCGCCCGGTCACAACAGCACGGTGTCCGCTTGGCTCATGACCTGAGCGGCATCCACCGGGCCAGCCGGCCGGTAACCTTACACCCCTCCAGGCCGCCCCGCCTGCAGCTCTGCATCCCTTCAGGCCGCCCCGCCTGCAGCTCTGCACCCCTCCCGGTCGGCCAGCCTGCAGCTCTGCGCCCCTCCGGGCTGTCCCGCCTGCAGCTCTGCACCCCTCCTAGCCGCCCCGCCTGCAGCTCTACATCCCTTCAGGCCGCCCCGCCTGCAGCTGTGCACCCCTACAGGCCGCCCCGCCTGCGGCTGTGCACCCCTCCAGGTCGCTCCGCCTGCAGCTCTGCACCCCTCCAGGCCGCCCGCCCGCAGCTCTGCGCCCCTACAGGCTGTTCCGCCTGCAGCTCTGCACCCCTCCAGGTCGCCCCGCCTGCAGCTCTGCACCCCTCCAGGTCACCCCACCCGCAGCTCTGCACCCCTCCAGGCCGCTCCCTCCGGCGATCACGGCGGATCAGCAAACCTCGCTGGCCAGTGATGCCCCCCTCCCCACCCCTCGAAGCGGTCCATCAGGGGCTGTGTCACCCATCCGGCGCGAAGTGTCGATGCTGACCGCCCGCACACCATCAACTGTGGTGACGTTCAACGGAGCAACATTACAACACACACTCCTTACACTCCCTCCGCGCACTGTGCAGGCGAGCGAGTCAGACATCCGCCAGCTACTGCATGCACGTACTGGCGCCAGAGTCATTGATGAATATGACAGCACTGGAAACCAGGTAGCTGCCGGTCTATCTGCTGACATGTCGCAGCTGGGAACCGGTGTAAGTGCCTTCGCTCGCCGGCACCGTGCGCAGTTTGGGCGCGGCCCGGTCCGGCTGGCGCGACCCTCTCACCTGCTTGGGCGGCTCGGGCGGCGAGTCTGCGTAATCGACGCGCCGCTTCTTGGGCGAGCCGGCGGCGGCGCCCGCGGCGGCGGCGGCGCCGGCGGCCGGCGGCAGGCGCGGCTTGGCGCGCGACGGCCGCGGCTCGGGCGGGTTGAGCAGCGCCGCCACCGCCAGCGACTCCTGCGGCAGCCGGTACGTGTCGTCCTCCTGCAGCACGTGGCCGTTGGCGATGGCGCGGCGCAGGCTCACCTGCCGGCGGGCGGACACGGCGCGTCACGCGGGGTGTCACGCGGGGCGTCACGCGGGGCGTCACTGCAGCCCACGCGGCGGCGGCGGCGGCGTCCCCCTGACGGCCACCGCGGGCGGTGACATGTGGTCAGCGAGAGTTAGATCAGCACGCCGACAATGGCCAGAGGATCCGCCTGACACCGGGCGGCCGTGTCGCACCATTGCACGGCGCGTGAAGACACGCGCAATCCCGCCTGATAAAGACACGAGAGGCAGAATCGTCCACAGAACTCGGGCGGCAAAATGTAAGTGATGAGCTCAAGCTACGTGCTAATCGCTCTGCTCGCAGTGTTATGAAAAGTCAGGGGCGTCACATGCAGCACTGAGGGGCGAGGACAGCCGGACGAGCAGCAAGTTTGGAGCGAGAGGCAAGCCAGTGCGGTCAGCTCAGTCCAGCATCGAAACTGAACGTCGTGCCACCACCAATGCTGGACGGCACGACACCTTTCCGGCAGCAGCCGTTTCCAAGGTACAGCACACGGGGGCACCTACACTAAATACAAGCGAGCACATCTGTAACAACCCGTTAATGCATCAGCCCTCCCACCCCAGCCAGACCTTTGATCAGACCATGTCCGCAAAGTCAAAACGCCCCACCAACGCGGCGCGCGTCGCGGGCAGGAGCGCAGCATCAGGTGCGCGCACGTGCGCCAAGTGCCATTCTTCTCACCCATCTAAACAAACGGCGCATGCCCATAAGCCAGCGGTGAACATCAACGGACCAGGTGTGACGGCTTAGTGTCTGACAGTCGTTTCAGCGCGTGGGAGGGGCATACCTGCACGTGCAGGTGCTAGCGCGGATACCGACGGCACTACCAAGAAATCACGGCGTCTTGCACCTTGAACATGCCGTGCTGATGTTTAAATCCTCCTCCGACCCACCGAACACTCAGCTAAAGCCAAAATGACCTGGCTCAATGTCAGCCACGTCCAAAGAAAGAAGAAAACGTGAGCACGTGAGCACGTGCCCCATGGACCACCTATAGCACCTGTGTCACGACAAGGTACATGCTCATATGGCACTTGTGCACGTGAGCACGTGCCCCACGGACCACCTATCGCATCTGTTTCAGAAGGTACATGCTCATATGGCAGTTGTGAACAGCAAGGCTCATGTCCAGGCAGCGGCACGGACCTGAAACAGTGCACCTAATCTGATCGCTCCAGCTACGGTGGCACCAACACGGCGCGCCCACTGCACGAGGGGCGGGGGCGGGCTCTCCGAGCGTACTAATTCCGATCATGATCCTGATTGGGCTCACATGATACGCATGCACTGATGAAGCTTAAATCATTCCTGGACCGTGTGCGTGTTACACTTTATGCGCAGGAAATCACACGTCTGACCGCGATAGCGTAAGGGAACGTCCCGCTAGCGCGTGCAGCGCCAGCGCGTTTGCGCTCTGCACCGGATGAAACCTGCCTAAACAGGCTATCCCGGCACTCCGCTATCTTGCAACGACAAAAAAACGACAGGCGCGGCGTGCAGGCAAAAGCCGCAGCCTGCCTTAATGGTGCCGTGCAAAACTTGCGCTAGCGCCCTGCGTACATATCGAGGTCCCAGTCCCTTTGATTTGCCCGGTGCCGGATCCCACTGCCATCCTACCGACGTGCTCCACCCGCGTGCTCGCGTCTGGACGCGCTACCGACCCCGGGCTGCCTGCCGCGGTGCCGCGGCGCACAGTCCAAAGCAACGCACGCGCCTGACCCGTGCACCGTGCCTGCAGTGACGGCCGTGATCCCCGTGGACCGTGCGCCGCGCGGCGGCCGTGTTCTCACTAGCAGCCCCGCTCGCGCGGCCGCCTGACCTGCGGACGGGGCAGCTCGACCTCTGCCCCCATCTGGGGCGCGACACGTGGTGCGCACCACCCGGCACTACGGCCGGCACCAGGGCCGCTCCGCCCAACCGGTTCACACAACGGTACAACGCTGCCCACTGTCGTCCGAGCCGCTTCGGAACAGCACGGTCCAATGCTTGGGCACCGAGGCTGACGAGGCAAACATCAGCATAGCGCCTATTCAAGATGCCAATTATGAAATATAGTAACGGTTCAATGCGTGCAAGGCACGCCTTTGGAATAGGTTTGTAGAATTTTGTTGCTGATTAGGGTTTAACGGCACGTCTACCGCTGAGGTCATTCCGCGTCCAGGCCTTCACGGTGCAACAAAAACTACAGCCGCACACGTCGTTGCAAGGGAACACTGTGACTCCGGCTGACCAGACCGACGGACGGTGACCCGTGTGCAGCGTGATGCCCCGGGTCAGAGCGACAGAGCCCGACGCGGCGCACTGTCGCTGCAATGGACACCGTGACTCCGGCTGACCAGACCGACGGACAGTGGCCCGTGTGCAGCGTGATGCCCCGGGTCAGAGCGACAGAGCCTGACGCGGCGCACTGTCGCTGCTCACATACTGAATCCGACGGCGGTCAGCGGTCAGATACAGCGTTTGATATCGCACCGGGCGGGTGGTCAGTGTCCACGAGACGGCCGGACCGCCAGCGAACGGCGCCATGTCAGAGGTCGGGCACAGTAACGGATGACGACCGATTATGTGAGATTCCAATTGGGGGGAGATAACGAACATTACACAGCTTTCACGCCTCTGTCAGGTGTAACTATCGCGGACCAGTCAGCACGCTCATGTGGCACATGCAACACAGCTTACGGTAACGGCACACGGGCACCGGGACCCGTCCACCCTGCCGAGGAATGCAACAGGTCTGGCGACGTTTGGATTACATAAACACCTGCAGCTCCCGAGACCACGGCGCCTAACCGTTCTTCCAACGCCTTGGTGAAACACGCAACCGAGATACGCCTCGTATTGTTCTGCACTACCCGTCGCTTGTGAACAACCTTCGCGCACGGATGCCTACTGTTTGCATGAGCTACCGCATGCTAAAGCACCATGAAGACAATCTGAATAAAGATGAGCCATCATATCAAAAGCCATGTTTGGGTCGTTAGTACCGCATGGTGTACACCGCTGGGCACAGGCGGCAATATTCACATACGATCTACCCTAACACAATGTCCATCTGCTATCGATAAAACTAACTAGTACGCAATCATCTATTCCAAAGCGTGAGCCAATAGCTGGCACCCCACAGCCAGCGTCTGAATGGACAGCACCGCCCCGTCCGCCACATTTGTCGCAAAATGAAGTGGTTCGCATTTTCTCCGCTTCAAACACGATCTGAGCCAGCCTTGCCCCACCCACATTATAATTCCTGCTGCTGTCTTCAGGGCCGCGACTACACCCGCCCACCGACGGACGGCCCGCCCGCTAATGACGGCCGCACTGAACAGCGCCGCGCGGCCCAGCGCCATGGGCTGAGCGCCGCGCGCGCGCCTCCGCCCCTCCCCGCTGCAGACTGACGGGCCTCCGGCGCTGCTCGGGCGGGCGCCGGGCCCCTCCCCTCTCCCCTCACGAGTGGGGCTGTGGTGGCTCTCTGGTCCCGCCCCGCTCACCGGCTCGGATGTTTTCGTTCACCCGCTTCGTCGAATCGGGATGTTGTAGCGCGCTACTGCACTAACCGGGTGTCGTATACATAAATGGCGCGAGTGATGCAACTGTGCCCGTGCAGATCAAAACACGCCGGCGTTTGGACAGCTTGCGAACATGAAGACCTCACTCCTGGCACGCCATAGATCAACTCCGGAGTAGCAGGAATCAAGCCTTCTTCCAGCTCTTTCCGCCACCAAACTTACACGCAGCCAGTTTCCATACTACCGCGCTAACACATCGTCGCTTGCACACGCAGCAGCACACTTATTATTGGTTCGTGGCGATATTTCGCGCGGCGCACCACGCCATCCCGCTCCCCTCCCCCTCCCCCTCGCACCACCGGTACCACACTCCACTCCCGGGGCTCCACTGACCTTGAGCGTGGTGTTGAGGTCGGCTCCCTCGGTGACCTCGATGTTGTGCGCCTGCAGGATGTACTCCTCGATGTCCTTGACCGTGGCCTCCACCAGGTCCTTGACGCTCTTGACGATGATCTTGGTGAGGTCGGTGCCCTTGCTGATGACCACGCGCGTGGGCCGCGGCGGCACGTTCGGCACCTTGTACGACACCACGCCCTTGTTGTAGACGCGCTTGATGTAGCCGCCCTCGATGGCCCGCTCCAGACTCGACAGCACCTGCCGGCGACCCAGTGACGTCAGCACCGGCCCAGTGCCGTCACAGAGCAGCAGACGTCAGACAGCGCGGCTGGTGGACTGTGGACCGTGTTCCCCAGATCGCTGCGGCTCCCGAGTCCTGACAAGTCAGGACAGCACAGCTAGCCATGCGCCACGACAAATGACTGCTTTTAGAGCATACTGTCCAGGTCAGTACAATGTAAGATGGTCAGTGTGTAACGCTGCATGTCCACTGTCGGGGTCAATCAAGCCAAATACACGTATAATAATACGTGTTCCGAACGACCGTGCAATTATGTTGTATTGCCATAAATCTTGTCAAAACAAATATTTTTACCACTTTCTCACGTACTGAAAACACAAAGCCTCACGCATATGACACCTAAGAATATGTCAACAGAAGATATCAACAAACTACCACCTATCGCGCGCATCTTAATTGTGTTAGATTATTCAGAATATGTCGCCACAACAAATAATTTCAAAGCTATTGCGCAAACTGGAAACTAAACCGCCAGAACGCAGAAATAAACCATAATGGTGCAGGGAACACAACGGGGCAGCTAGAAAAGCGTGGTAATCTGAAAAGTTTAAGCGCGTAACAAATTCCGATCCACGCAGTGACCCATTTTCTGACCATGAGCATCCCACGTCTCACTTCTGTTTTACGTTGCCTTAGCCCACTTTACGACTTAACCTACTGTAATGGCCGCACAGTTTCACGGACCCGGTGGCATCACATATTTCAAACTGAGAGCGGTATGCGACTCCTAGCCAAGTCCAGACGGCTGGCCTTCGCCTGTACGAAACCGAGGGCTGAGCGCAGGGAATTAATGGCCGTCGACACTTGGTACGCCATAGTTCGTTCCCAGCTATGGTCACTTTCCACATCGTGAAAGCCGATTCTCGTGCTACACAGATGTGTGTCGTGTTGCAAACAATATCGTATAACTCGTCGAGGATCCATATCTCAACGTCATCGACCAAACGCTTTGTGCGGACAATCGCGTAAAAAGACAATAACCATCGACGCCGCGGTCTCCCGTGTCATTTATGGCGGATTTGGTACTATCAGCCTCACTGTCAGTAAGGCTGATAGAACGTCTTCATCCCTCATGCTCGTCATTGTGAGCACGGCTTGGGAGGGGGGGGGCGGGGGGGGGGCTGGCTGCCCCGGGCGCGTCCAAGTTCCGTAACACCCCAGGTTTTCAGTTCCGGCTGCACTGTGGGCGACGGTCGAAGAAATCCCAGACCTTTGTCACGCTCTTTTCGTTTTTCACGTGTCTGCTGTTTGTGACGCTTCGGATGGGCTGAGCACGCGGAAAACGTCTGCCTCGTGGTCTAGTGGTCACTCTCGGGGTCAACAAGCAGCAGCGCACACCGCACCAGCGAGACCCTCAGGCAAGTACTTATGGTGTGTGATAGTATCTCGTACGCACTTGACAGTGCCGAATACTGAAATACTCGGGAATTGTCATGGGATCACGTGTGCGCACGTGCGGAGTACTATTACCGGACGTTCAGTTTCAACTATACTGTTGAATATCACGTACTACCCAGTCAACCGTACTGCTGAGTACCAAGTCCAGCACCCAGTTACTAAGTACTTGTTATTGAGTCACGAAAGTGACTCAAACAATGGAGCTGACATCCTTAGCCTCGAACCAAACAAACATTTGCTTTATGCAACAGAGTGAATGCAAAAAGTAGCCCGCAACCAATCATATGCCGTGCAAGGTCATTGTACGAAACTGACTTCCTCTGAAGTCGTAATTATCACTGACGTATCCAAAGTGCCTGTATCCTGGAAGACTTACGCGCTACATCGACATCATGCCAAAGTACCTTTCTTGTCAGCGGACAGGAAAAACTCACATCGTTCTACAGGTATCCGGAGATAACGCCACTACGCAGAGATCCGACATGACTTCGAACCATTTTTTTGTTTAATCTGCGCTAGTAATGAGTTATTTGATGCTCAAATTGTGTGGAGCGACCGCCCATATTTGTTTCGTGCCCTCCTTAATGATGCCTGTGGGTGGCAAACACCCATTTCAGCACGCGAATAGGAACTGCAACTTAACCTATTGTCCAATAACATTTTTGGCTTGGTGCGGCATGGCGACACTCAGATATTACTGTTAAAGTTAAGCTAGCGATCCGGTGCATGTAAACTGCTATTCGTTGCCTAACAAGGGGCAGCTCGCAGCTCCCGCTACGCAACGTCTCGGTACCTCGCTCCCACTCATCCGCATGCATCATTACATTATCATCATGGACGCAACAGCTGATTTTTGCCTTTCACCTGAGCTCTAATCCTAGAATAGTTCGCCACTTTCTCCGACCACCGCTTCTGTCTGGGTATTTATAGTTAGCCTTGGCTGGCCTGGTGATCGGGTTATGTGCAGCTACTGACTCTGAGTCAATATAGCCTTCCCAACCTCTGCCATGGCGGTGGCTGGCAGCCGCCTCGCCCATATCACGCAACAACCATTAAAATATCCAAAATCATAATCATTCCACGTTAAAGCAACGTCTTTTCGCGATGCACCGAAGGCATAGCATATGCCTTGCATTGGTTTTCACGGTACGTTTTTCGCCAAATTACAGGGGTGCGCCTGGCGAAGCTCAATGCCACGCTTTCAACGGGTTGAAAACATTGCATGATGCGGGGGAAATTGAAATCATGTACGTGACCACGAAAAACGCCAAGTGCAGAGTAGCCTTTGTTCAGCTGCCGCATTTGCTATTGACAAAGAAAACTAGCTCACGAGAATTGGCCAAGCGCTCCCCGTGGAGACATTCGTGGCACTGTCAATCATATATCCTTCCAATATCTATACGACATTTAGCTATCAGCAGCGTTGCATCAATGTTGGCAAAATGATGCACCCCAATATCCCATCATGACACAAAGAGTTCCACACGCTGAACGCCAACGAAAATGTAATCGATAACAAGGTGATCGACACTAATTTCTCCCGGCTTTGGGCATTTCAGTTACTTATACTGAACCAAAGAAGGCCTCCAGGCGATATCCCGAAAATCGCTCCTCATTCACCACGTCTGGACGACAGGCAGAAGATAGTTCCCTACAGAAAACACTAGCTGGTTTGCGCATTGGCATCAGCTCGCTACTGATCCAACATAACCACCACTCGAACGACAAACGCTACCGATTACAGCAGCAGGACCACCAGCTGTCGACGGCGTCCAAATCACCTCAGCTAAAAGTGGCATACGAGCTAAATAACATGCTCTCCACAAACACGGAGGTGACGAGCACGGCAGAGCATCCGCACTTCTGAAGCCAATGCACCCTCGCCATCAAAGTCATGTTAGCTGCATTACTCATGTCACCCTGTCGGAGAACAGATGCGCTCAACGTGGCGGCCAAGAATACATCGCGAGTGCGACTTTCCGCCGCAAAGCATGGGCTTAGCACACTGCCGTGTTGTGGAGATGGCACCCACTGTCCACGTACAGCGTCGTCTCGACGCCGACCTGGGTGTCGCTGAAGCTGTCGGGATGCTGGGGGGGGGGGGGAGGGGGAGGGGATATCCGCGTGATGTCTCGACACTGACCTGGGTGTCGTTGCAGCTGTCGGGGTGCTGGGGGGGGGGGGGGATATCCGCGTGATGTCTGGACACTGACCTGGGCATTATTGCAGCTGTGCAGGTGCCGGACGGCGCTGCAGATGCGCTCCTCGCTGGGACGCTGCTTCTGGTACTTGATCTTGGTGATGGCTTCGGCCAGCCACTGGACCCACTCCTCCAGCGTCGCGCCGTCCTCTCCCGGGTCACACTTCATCTGAAGCAGCACCAACAGCAAGCTCAGCACCGCTGGTGGCACGCAGACGCCTTAAATACAGCCCGCTACCAACAGCACGGAAGGCATCGCCTCAGCAGGTGCAATGCGCCCGATAGTGGTGTTGGTAATCTGATTGAAACAGTGCGCCAAACACTTGTTTATGACAGCGCTGCGACATATCCGCAACGTCCTTCGACTCTTTCACATTTCGCGTGCCACATATTAACGGAACGAGGGCGCCCACCCGACAGTACCAGAAACAGAGCGTCCGCCTGACAGTACTAGAAACAGAATGTCCGCCTGACAGTGGCGGCGGTGATAGCTGACGTCGGGCCAGACGGCTTGCGACGCGGACGTACCCAGCCTCATAGCAAACACGCGATGATACATGACCCGTTTGATGCGAAGTCCAACGAACAGCAGTCACTGGCGTGACGAGGGGCAGCATTTTAAGCCTTTGGTTTTCCACCACGGCTCGCAAAGGATCATCACCAGGCTGCGTTCCACGGTTGTCAAAACCACTCGCAACCATGGTACGCACGCAGCTTCTTGGTAAATGCGAGCGTGAAGCTGATAAATCCGCCTCGATTTACTCGCCATGTGCATGCTAAACAATCACTAACTTATGCACACTGGAGTTGTGTGACAAATCATCATAAGTCAAATGAAATATTCACACATTAAATGTTTTACGACCGATGGTCACCGTGGCCATTGGTCAGCGGAGTTCCAAGGGTCGTAACACTCACGCTCATTAGTCCCCCCCCCCCCATAAATTAGCGCTAAACCCGTCATCGCAGAAGCTCCGCACGTTCCGCCAGCAGGCTTCCCCCGCGCGGTGCCCTGGATTATTAAAGTTGTCTGAAAGTACGGCGCGCTATTTTCCTGTAATGCTGCACCGTGACCAGTACGTACTGGTCGTGCGGCGTCCTAACGTGGCGAGACCGAAGATATCTCAGTTCTCCGAGCGTGGGGCTAGTTTCCTTCCCGGCCCGGGCGGGCCCGGCTGAACTTGACCGGCGGCCCCGGCGGCGGCCGCCGCACCGGGGGCCGTCGGCCAGCTGAGCGCGGCACGCCCACCGCCGGTCCCAACCGTCGTCCGGGAGCGGCGGGTCCGGCGGGGCCGCGCGTCCGCAGAGGCGACGCCAGCGCCGCCCTCTCCGGGGAGAAAGGCGCCGGCACATGGACGTACCGATCCCAGCCGGGCACTGTCCGACCACGTGACCCCGCCCGCTGCCCCTCCCCCTCCCATTGAGCTGGACGCGCCTCTGTACGGCGGGAAGCGGCGCGCGCGAAAGCGCGGGCTGCCGGCGGCGGGGTGGCGTGACGTCACGGCCGGGTGGCCGGGCCGCAGTGCGGCGGAGCCCGGCCGCCGCCGCCGGTGGCCCGGCCCGCACCGCCGCCCACCGACCGGACCGTATCGCCGCCAGCCGGCCATGCGTCCACCTGAACAGCACGCACAACACGCATGTGGATCACCGACACGGATGCGATCACCCTCCATGCTGAACAGCCACCGCAGTTCTACGGGCGTGCGTCGGACAGTGGCGTAGCTAATGAGAGGAGCAAGATCATGCCCCCAACCCCCTTCCTTAATCACTCCCTCGCCAAGGGGCTAACACAAGACATTGGACGATTTGTAGGTTGGGTGTCACTTATATACTGCCCCCCCCCCCCCCCCACTCTCCTAGGACAATTTTGGCTACGTGGGGTCACTGGGTATAGGTAGTCAGCGCTTGACTGAAATGCTTTCGCCTTCACATGTCCGATTTTGACCTGATCAGCAGCCCAGCCCCCCTTGGTCAGCCGTGGCGGTGACGTGGGAAGCGTCAGAACATGACAGTGTTGGCCGTGCCTCTACCCGTCGACCGCTCGCCCACCCACAACACCTGTCCAACCCCCACCACCTTCAGCTTACGGACGTTGCGCAACAGCACCAAACCCTCAAACATTACAGCGATTGACGCGTTTAACCAACGAGCACCAAACACAGGCATTGACCCGCAATGACAGCCTACAATGATTTGCCGACTGCCAAATCGTGGCGGTACGTGACGCGACACCTGGTTCCCACTGAAAAGGGCACGTCATGCCGATGAGCCAAGAGCGGCGGCGGTGGCGCGCTGCCGCCAGAAGCCCGAAACCATGCAGCGCTCACGTGGCCGAGCGAGGACCGCGCGCCAGGCGGTCACGTGACTGGCTCGGGACTCCTCCGGCGACGGGCGCGTGACTATCTCGGCTGAGTCGGAATCCTGTGCCCGACAGGTCGGTCGGATTTTCTCCAGCCGCCTCCGCGGAAGAAAGTTTGCTAGAGCCTGAGCCGCGCGCGGCTGTTCTCAGGGGTATTCATGTTTGGAATGCAAACGAAGTCACGTGACTGCCTCGGAGCAATGCAGCCGGCAGTCACGTGGTCCGCGATCCTGAGGTCGTCATCCACGTGACTGGCTGGAACAAACGGGGCGTGGGCCGTAAATAGCCGGTCCGGGCCCAATCTGAACATGTCGGGCACTCCCATGGCACCGTCATGCACCACGCTGGCAGGAGGCGGCGTCGCGGCGGGGCCAGGTCCGGTTATGATGTGTTGACCACGTTCCACGTCGACCACGTCGGCCCGTTCCCCAGCACCTAACGAAATGTGAAGAAATCTATCAAACTGAAAAGTCTTTCGAAAGAGGGGTATCATTGGTGATAAAATCTAAAATGTGGCGACGTAATAACAAAACAGGATATCTGGAATGTGGCTGCACCACGTACAGGTTCAGAGGAAAATCCAGTATCATATGACAAGAGGGGAAAAACTTACATTTCCGCGGTTTTTTTCAATGCTCAGACTCCGTTGTCAGCGGTTTACAGCCGCGTCGGCATGGAATGCCATTTTAAGCCCAGTCACCGACGACCATGTCCTATTAACTGGTACCAGCTCAGCCGTAGCGCACATGAATCGGCTCTCGTTAGCAGGATGAGGCTACCGCGTAAATCGCGCTGTCGCGCTGCGCACAGCCCAAAACTATAAAACAATACGTTAGCATCGGATCGAAAAGTTGCAGATCAGCTTGTATGTTGAGTCTTCTCCATGTTTGTTCAACGTGGGTCTGCGGATACTTATCCACGCCTGAGAAGTTTTCAACACAGCATGTCCCGACGCCAACTTATTTTTTGGACGTGCGGGAATATCAGCAGCAAAAGGTGATCTCCAGTTCCCACATCGGCTTCACATTGACAATTCCTCTTCCTTCAGTGGGATAATTCATAAATGTTGGTTACCCGACTCTTGACAGATCTCCGACAAAACTGTCACTTGGTTTGAACCAGAAAAACTTCCCTGACAACCCTGACTGCATCCGGGAGAAGGTCATACATTGGTTATGCGATTAATTCTCAGATTGTATACATGTCAATGACACTAGATTAAAACCCGAAATCTACTCCGCCGAGGGCCGATGTTGCCGTCCAGTCGCACAAAATAACCACTGGAGCATGAATCACAATAACAATCACAATAAATCACAATAATGATCACATCCGTGCCTTCATATGCCAGCGCTATGAAGGGGACATCAATTCTTAAGAATGGCACAAAAATCACAAAGCCTTGTCCACTACATGATTTTGTGACGAATGGGTTCCGACTCCAGGGTTAATTTGACTCTTCCCCAAAGGGAACCTTTTGCGCCAGATTACCTTGCTTAGTCAACGCCTTAGAATGCATGACATCCCTTTTTTGAAACATGACTTTGCCCTGATAACATTTAGTTGCGCCCATGCGATAGAGAGTGAAAGTGATGGGCAAACCATCACATTCCAAGCATTTAAAAAATTGGTAAAATGTTGGGTCCTCCACATATCTATCTACGTGTTTGTTGCCTAAATTCGTCCCTCAGGGTGTCGAAATCATGTTCTTGTTACCTGCACGGATGTTTAAAAGATGGAGCGTAACTATCCCTCACTAATGTCGCCATTTTAAATGCGGAATTGTCGACTGTTATAAGGACTGGGGTGTTATAAGGACTGTTTCAAATAAGCAAGCTTTGAACCACAAATCTTCTTAGAATTGTGATAAACTCAAACGTAGGCTGCTAAAATGCGACGTCAGCATGTGCAAAAACTCGCCGAATGGCACAAAAATCATGTTTTCAGTTTCACTTTCGGACCACTTTCTCACAAATTTCATGACTGATGTCCTGTTTTAACCTCATGACGCTACAGTGAACACTCTTCGTCCACAAAAAGCGTGTTATCTCTCACTTCAGTCCCCACGTCGTGCGGGCGTCAAGCCCGGGTCGTGGGCGGCAGACCCGCACTCAACCGGTCGTGATTTGTTGGACATGTCAGCAGGAGCATTTCCTAGCATTGCCTCTGGGGGTGTAGGCTCAAACATACGTAAAGATGTTGTGTGATGAGAAATCAGACCGATACACCGCATGAAATTTACTGCTTAAAAGGTCACCAAACTTCAGATCATTAACTCCGACGATTTTTAAACCAGCTGCGAAAGATACACTCGGCGACCTTTCGAGCGCCGGATGACAACAATGCTGAGAGGTAATGCCACCTCTAGAGGCCACCATCACAACTTTGCAGCGGTCTATTTATGTGTCAAACAGGAAAGATGGGCCGTTGAGAAAGAATGAGACGACTGGATTTGCAACCTGAGTCGGACGCATCTCAACTGGATACGTCCCTCTACAGTCGAATTCGAATTTAACATATACCAGTCTCCCCTTAAACGATACGTGTGTTTCGGGTACAAACTGAGATAAAAAAGCAAACCCGACTTCGAGCCAGAAGAAATACCGGATCTAGGATGTCCTTTACAGTGTGCGGAGCCTTGGATCTATTCCCTAATAATGACGCACGTCTGACGACCTGTGATGGGGGCCGGGTGGCGTGAAACGCTGTCAACGTGTCGCTCCCATACATGGCAAGGAAAGCCTGCACAGCCAATATCACATGATTTATGGGTAGAATGGAATCTCAATGAACTTTTCCATGTCCGCGATTACAAAACGGAAAACCTGCTATACTTTTTTCTTTAGATGTCCACGACGTTTCCCGGTATTCAAAAAAAGCCGTAGTCCCCCCATCCAGTTTTCTGAGCCGCACGAATGAGCCCAGACCTCCAGCCCGGCCCATCTCGGAGAATGCGCCGCAGCACCCTTTTGGCTCTGAGCGCATCAACTGCGCGTGACTTCGTGCTTTGTAACAACCTAGACACCCGCAAAGAACGACCCGTCATTTCAATACCGCGTGCAATCGCGGAGGGGCAGACTGCCGTGTCAAACATGCATTGTTACGAGCATCGCGGTTCTGATAAGTGCGATCGATGCACAAAACAACCGTGCGCGCAAACGCTGAAACCATATCCGTGGTAATGGGGCCCGATACGACAATTTTCTGTCGTACTGACCGGCCCGCCAACTGAAATTGGAGCAGAGAGCTCCACGCCAGCCGCAGACACCGCCAAATAATCTGTCGTTAAATGATCTGCCGCCAGAGGAACTGTCGTCGGATGGTCTGACGTTAGATGATTTGTCGTTTGATGATCTATCGTTAGATGATCTGTCGTTAGATGATCTGTCCTTAGATGATCTGTCGTCAGATGATCTACCGTTAATTATCTGCCGTCAGATGATCTGTTTGTTAGGTGTTATGTCCTTAGACGATCTGTCGTCAGATGATCTGCCGTTAGATTATGTGTCGTCAGATGATCCGCCGTTAGATTATGTGTCGTCACATGATCAGCCGTTACATCATCTGTTGCCACATGATCTGCCGTTAGATCATCGGTCGTCAGATGATCTGTCGTCAGATCATCTGTCGTCAGATCATCTGTCATTAGATGATCTGCCTCATGATCTGTCGTTTGATAATCTGTCGTTAGATGATCTGTCGTCAGATAATCTGTCGTTAGCTGATCTGTCGTGGCGCGTCACTGCTGCCACGGGCGTCCCTCCCCGCGTTCCAGCCGGGTGAATGGCATCTTCGTCGTGAGGCACATCGGGTGCGACACAAACATAGGAAACAGCAATGTTATACCGCTGCGGACGAATTATTTAGGTGGCGTTGCACATGTTTGCTCCGAGCCTGTTGGCACTGCATGCATCTTAGTCCACATGAACAAACGACCTAGGAGTGATAACATTTGAGTCATTTTTGAGCCAGAGTGATGACGCGCCTCGAATGACTTCATGAACTGCAATACTCGGGTTGCAAAAGCCAGCATATGGTTAGCATCTGCCAAGAACCGAACTGCCGTCAGGAATTGGAGCCAGCCCCACAGTCCCACAAAACCGCACGACTGTTCTGCGTCTGCGCATACACATGAGCAGCTGTTCACCCAAGCAGTGCCCGGCCGGCGAACAACCCAACCCACCCCCTGCGCCATGCGCACCTCGCCGCAGCCAGCTGTCCCGGCCCGGTGCGTCGGAACTCGGCGAGGAGGGGGAGACACGTATGACGCGCACGCATCCGGAGGGCCACGGTCTCGCACGCGCGCGCGCGTCCGCCGCCACGTTGTAAACAAGCCGGTCACGTGACCCCCCGGCCGTGTGACGCACGCGGCTGAGTCACGTGGTGCCGCCGCCGGCGCCAATCAATGGTGTCTCGTGCGGCGGCTTCCGTGTGAGCGCCGGCTGCGCAGATCCAGGTGTGGTCCGGGCCGAACGGCAAGGGCAGCGAAGAACCGGCTCCAGGCGCGGCCGAGTCGAAACCACGCGCAATGCCCGGTCTGCCGTTCCGTGACCGTGCTCCAGGGCGGCCTCCTGACTCAGGCGTGACTCAACGCTGTCGCCTCCGCGCCGCCGCCACGACCCTCCAACACCCCCGTGGACGCCGGGGACGTCTGGCATTCGACGACCCGTGGGCCGGACCCATGAGTCACGGCGACGGGCGGCGGGGCGACTGGCGCGATGAGATACGGCGCGCTGGTGGCAGCGCGGCCGCCGGCCCGGCGCGGCGGTCCGGCGGCAAACACCGAACACGGGCGGCCGCTGACGCCGCCAGACAAAAGTCGATCGAGACCGGACTGAGCCGGACCTCCCACCGGCCTCGGCGCAGCAGCCGCCGGCCGCTGTGGACCGGGCGTCGGCCGGCACTGCCGCTCCAGACCACACCAGTCCGGTCCGGCTCACACCGGTCCGGCGCCCGGTGACGGCCGCCGCCGACAGCGCGTGTCGCGGCCGCACCGGGCGGGAGGCGCTCCCGGCGCCCGGCGTTCACAGGTCGGACGGATCAGCTGGGGGGCTGGTGGAGTGTGCGTGGCTCGACTGTGCACCACAGAGCGTCGACGACCACGCAGCACGCGCGCCACCAGGGACGCTAGATCACGAGCCGCCAAACATGATCGGGCGATTGGGGAAACATTACCTAGCCATGACACGTCCGCAGTTATTGCACCGCCGAAGTGGTCAGCGAGCAACGGGTCCCGGATATCAAGGGTGGTGGGTTCACATGTGTCAATCTTTCCCCACGAGCATGCATAACGTCTCAGGTGTCACGTTGCCGGGGGGGTGGGCAATCTCACAATATGGAATAAATGCGAGAAGCCATGTCAGTAGAACAGAATGGTAGGGTTAAATGCATGGGAGCAAATTTATCTATCGCCTTCAACGAAATTACGTCACTAATGTTTGTCATCACCAGAATGCATCGCCTTCCACCACACGCTCGTCACGGACGCTCCAGGTAACTTACATGTCCGGTTAAATAACTTCATGGTCCACTCCGACCGCGTTTGTCTTTTAAGGCTGGAAATGCGTCAACAGCCTGCTCTATTGTATCGTACAGGAATTTGCTCGTCATACCATACTATCGTAGCTTACAACGGTCGTTTGAGGTACGATCACCAACGGCTGCCGAAGCAACGACGAAAGCGTGACTGAGGATCAGGATGCTTGATTTTGCACGCCGTAGATGTAGGTCGGCAGCGGGGCTACGTGGAACCATTCGCTTTTTGTGAGCATGTTTTTGCGGTGGAAGCGATGACAACGCATGGTTTCTGCTTGGCGTTTTGCTGCTCCATGCTTCGCGGCTTAGAGAATGCTGCGAGCAAATGTGGCTTTCCTCCTCGCCCGTGAAGCACCCTTCCAAGCGGCTGGTTAATGGGGATATGAAAACTGCACCGATGATTTGCATCAGTGACGTCTGCTCTGCGTTTCAGACTCCACGACCCAGGGACTAATAGCATTGCAAGCCCTGCAACCGAAGCACAACATCGCACGGCTGGGACACCCCACGTCATGCCGCAGCGACAATCACACCTCTGCAAAAGTTTGTGCACGAGCCTTTTCACGGCTTCGATTTCAGCCGTCGGTTGGCTGTCATGGGAGGCCCTCACTGGGCGGACTTGTGGCGGCCAGCACAGAACGCCAAGCACTTGGACGGTGAGGGCGCCGGTCCACGTTCCAAGCAGCCGTGAAACGTGGTCGGTGCATGGCGGAAGCTTTCCATGCTTTCCGGAAGTGCTCGAGCGTCCACATAAATTTTCTATTTCGCACAGGGTCCAAGGGTGTTATGCCTGCAGAATTGACGTTGAGCCTTATACTCAAAGATGACGTTAAACCCTGTACCTGTTGAACCTGACACCCTGCAATGATTCGATGTCCATGCTTCCTCCAGATCGGGGCACTGAAGCCTGCGTTCGGTCCAACCGGGCACTGCGTTCGAGGGCTAACCGGTGTGGCAGGCCGGGGGGGGGGGGGGGGCGAACCAAGAGCGGACGTACCCACGGATCCGGGCGAAGAGGGGCGGCGTGCCGGCGTCCGGCGGAGCCGCGCGCCGGCCGCCGGGCCGCGCCGCTCCCAGTTGGCGGTGTGCGAGCCGCCGGGGACCGGGCGGCGACCGCCAAACAGGACGCGCCGCTGCCGGCCCCCTTCACTTCCGCCCCACCTGGCTCCGGCCCCTCGGGCGCCAGTCCTCGCCGACGAGGCAGGATACTCCTCGTGACCGCGGTAGGACACACTCCCAAACACACGGTCGTCCTTGCTCCCGTGCGGGACACTCCGCCGCGGTCAGGCGGCGTGGCCGCGCGCCGAGATAAAAAAAAATCGGACAAAAACCACCAACGCCGGTCGGCATCAGAGGCACATCAGAATTAGGTACATGTTATTTTCGCTTTCATCCATGCAACGTCCTAAAACATACCTAAACGTTTCCTCAACAGCACGCAGGACCCTCGCACTTCGTTTCATCGCCCAAGCCCCAAAGCGAAGGAGAAAGCAAACGGGTTCTGCTTCCTGTCCCACTGTAAATAATTAATTTTCTAACTCACCGGCGCTCACCAGCGGGAAGTCAGCAACATTGATGCTGCGTGGTGCCACCTGTTTTTCAGGGGGTTTCTAGCCGATCAATGAGAGTGCGGGCGGCCGACGGACTTTTTGTGCACTTGACCCGAGCCCCGGTCGAGCGCAAACGAACGTCTGACTTCTCCATGCACTATACCTGTGTCGGCTCTAGTCTGTCAGCCGTTGCCCGGAACCCTTACATTGAGCTAGGGGCCCTGGCCGTCCCAGCGGACGGCTGCGTTCAAAAGGTTCGGCCATCTGCTCGCCGGGCCAGGTGCGATCGGCGAACGCGGCACCACGCGCTCCGCGGCCATCTTGTCAGCGCTCCCGCCCGATGTTAGGCGAATTTCCACACGACTTATGTGGCTCCAGAACCACTTCGAAGACGTCAAACGGCCAGCAGTGCGTAGCACAAGGTTCAGGGCTTATGCCAATGTATGGGTTTGCTACGATTACTCTTATGCATGTTTCATATCGCCCGTGGAAAAACACGGCATCCACCGGCACGCAGAACACGGGGGCGCGCGCCGTACGCCCAGCCACCAAACATTTTTCAGACAAAATCAGCATTCTGGCTTACCTTTGCGTAGAATCACGGGATGCAGCGTTCAAAAAAACGCTTCCTGATAATAATACAACACCACTTTACACATTAATCACTGAGAAATATCCACATAACACGCGCGCGCCACCGCACTTCGATCCAGCCCGCTAGCAAACATGGCGGCCGCCGCGCGCCGCTCACGGCTCGTCAGGGACTGCTCCCGCCGCCAGGCAGCGACATCTACATGAAGAAATTGCAATGTACTGAAGCGTACCATCATAACGTCGCCTTTTAAACACATCACGTAGCCATAATTGAGCCTAGGAGCATGTTAACAAAGTATTTACACCTACATGGATGTTTATATGATAATTCTGTGTTCAGAAAGGCAGAAACTGTACATAAAACTTCATCAGTGCGACAATTCTTCCAACTGGGCCTTTGACTGAGGTGTTCTTACAAGCATTGTGATTGGTGAACAGCATTTGATTACAAAGGTGTCATTGGTTTATTTGCCGTGGAGTGTTCCAAGCGAAACAGCTATTGATTTAGTGCGTCTGTTGTTGCCGGTGGCGCGGTTGATGTCAAATGTTGTACTTCAGTCGACTGAACTGGCATAATTGGTGGCTGTAGCCGTTGGGCATGAATTGGCGGGGCTTTGGGCGAAATTCCATTGAGCTCCGAGCGTCGGAACACGCGGCCTGCTTCCGTGTCGGAAGCGTGAAAGTGAGAGCTGGCACCGGATACCACTACAGCAGACGGTAGAATACACGGCGACATGGAGGCTTTGCGTTGACCCCGGCGGCTGTTTTAACTAAGGCATCCATTTTCTTCCCATGTTTGACAGGGGATAGCGCTGCCGCAATTATGAGAAGTGTTTAGTGGGGTGCTAGTGTTGGGTACGTCAGTTATCTGAAATACGGTCCGGGCCTCCGGCTAAGGAACGAGAGGGGTGGCTCGGTGTGAGACGCCCCGCGATGTTAAACGGCTAGGCAGACCATCAATCAGAACAGCCTATCCTCTTTTTCAACAATGGTGGTACAAATCTTCCACTCGTTCGTTCAGTAATGAGATATGCCCGGTGGTGAAGGCCATTGGCTGTCATCGCGTCCACACACAATAACTTACTCCTACTACGTGTATGAGGAATATGCGTAGCGTCTATATGTGGAGGTCATTGACGCAAAATGGCCGTTGTAGCCGACGCGCCCTAAAACCTAAATCATCCTACGCGTAGATCGCAGTGACTATCTAGACGTTTCCGATGCCGGCATCCGCTGCTATTTAGGTTCCTTTTTAGACAGGCAGCGAACGAAAATGATAAGTGCCTCTTGACATCAACAGTCACGTCTTTCACCTAGCACGACCACAATGTGGTTTTGCATCAGGGTAGCATGATATTGGGAAGCAATTTTTGCCTACGTAGTTTGGCTCCGCTCATCCGCGCGCGCACAACAGGTACTCCAAAAAGACGCGTGTTAAGATGTAAAAAATTTGAGATGCTCTTTGGATCTCAAGAGGACGCCTGCCGATGGAGAGGCATCCCATGAACTATAAATTTGGGCTTTGGCGCCAAAAGAAAGAAGAGCGAAACTCCCATTTTTTGACCGGTATCTCTCAGCTTCGGCGTAGGAGAAGACTTCAAACCGATGTTGAATGAAGAACAGAAGATTGAAATCATCGAGAGCTGGTAGCTATGATAAGGCAACACATGACGACGAATTTCTGTGTATTGCAAAACGTGACAGGGTACTGCGGTCGAGAACATCACGAAAACCTTTGCGCCGGCTGTATCTTACTAATATGCCATGTCCGCCTGCCGCAAATGCGCGCATTCCAAGCTGTTTGCTCAATTACAGCCACAGTAGTCTGTTTATGTTTTGCCAATGCGATGCCCTGCACTTGGTCACTAGCTAAATCTTCTCTTTTTCTATTTTTAGCCACGTGATAATCGGTGATTACGCTTGACCGTTCTGAATTCATGTTCACCAGCATAATAGGCGCGTGTTGTTGCGTCCGCCCTCCTGCATCGTGTCACATCAAACCACGCGGGTGAAAAAGCATGGCGAGCAGTGACGTTAGTTGATTCAACTTTATAATCGCAGTAATAACCTCCGAACCGAAGTGTTGCAAGTTCGCAAATTTTTGGTGATTAGCAATCGATCGCTCGGCATGTTTCCGACCAAAGCATAAATATGACGTTAAGGCATGTCACTGAGTTATGACACTTTGGAGGATAGTGCCTCGAGTTTTGTCGTTACGTTCACTTCTTCACATTTGTATTTCTGGTTTTAGATTATTTGTATGTATTTCATTTGCTGGCTGTCTGCCAGTCAGAGTCGCACTCGCTATACGGGATATCACTAAGTCACTATCAGAGGTTAAGCCAGTGACGAAGCGAGATGACTTACCACGCGCATGTGTAAGGATTCAGCCAGTTTAACTGACAAATTTCCAAACCAATGCATGTGATATGTCATGTGATTCGGAGAAGCGGGAAAATCATATTGCATTCGCTGATCTCACCTCTACATAGCATGACCTCGAGCCGACTCGGCCTCGGCCGCCGATCGTTGCTGAGATCATATTAACATTCTGAAGTGCAAGAACACGTTCTTTCGTTTTCTAAGTCCCCTGAACTCGTCCGAGCATTTTGATGGTCTGAAAATCACTGCATGACCTGTGACGTCATCAGTCGCGCAGTGGATGTCACGCAGTGGTTCCTGAGCGAAATTCAGCGGAGCTTTCGAATGCCGCTTGAACTCGTAGACATTAGGATTACATCACCAAATACCAGTGGTGCCGCTTGTACACTTTTCAGCCCTGGCAAGGTGGCACGCACATCCGCGAACAATCGAAATATTTTACCCACCTTGTTTTCTTCTAACTTGATTTCTGAGTGATGTGTCCAGCAGCCAGAAACTCCCACTAACACTTAGGAACTCCACAATTATAATTTCAAAAACTTGCTGGACCATGTTATGCCAGGAAACGTCAAAATTGCAGCATGAGCTCTACCGTGAGTAACGAATTGGAGGCTGGTCCTTGTTCCGTATTGAACGATATGCGATTATTCCAGTACTGCAGCAGCTTAACACGCATTGCATAAGGTCAGTGAAGGTCACACCATGCCTCTCCGACCTTATCTCAGGTGATCATAAATCGTTGTTGTTCGCCATCTCCATATTGTAATCATTGAAATATGATGAAGAGTTTCTTGCTCTCTGACGGTGCTAACATTTGATGCCGCATGCCGTCTGAAGATCGCGTCCGTGACACATTCAGCCCTAGAGACACCTCCGGGCATGACCCAGGCGAGCCAGGTCATCCCAGTTCAACCATATGTGCATAAGCGAAGGAACGGTGACGTCCGTGGGTGCCAGAAAGCCTTCCGAGAAAGACGGAATGGCCCGTGGCGACGCACGGTAGCAATCGACTTCAAAGTTGTTTTGACACTTCCGATCTATGAAACGTTGTATCACCAGTAACTCTGCGCAACAAATGTGGGCCTTGTTTGCACGAGTGTGATGTTTTTACCTCTGACCGGAGGCCATTGACCTCGCGGGCGTACTCCCACGGGCTCGCTAATGACCGGATACTGCAGGTTGTCATAAGTCACCGTATAAGGTTTCTGTGTGTGCCTGGCGTCATCCTTTCTCATAAAGATATACTTCACTGCCTATTTTCCTAAAGTGCTGTTTGCCTTTGCGCTCTGGGTAAGCCCTGCGTAAGCTCTGAGTAAGCTCTGAGTGAGCTCTGGGTTCCGAGGTTTGGTCTGACTCTGCAGCCGTTATATCTTTACCTAGACCATGAGACGGCTAACCAATCTGATGAAAATATCGACATGTCGCGATGTGGTCAAGTTTCATCCCGGAAGCATTGGACAGTGCACAGATTGGTCCGTGCCGGTCCAATTTGGTCCGATTGGTCCCTTTTGGTCCGATTGGTCCGGTCGGTCCCTTTTGGTCCGATTGGTCCGATTGGTCTCTTTTGGTCTGCTTGGTCCGATTGGTCCCTTTGGTCCGATTGGTCCGAATGATCCCTTTCCATTCGACCTGCCGTGATGCCTGGTCAGGCGTTGTCATTACCTGGCTTTTGGGTTATAACTCAACCAAGCAACAAATGATCGCAATTGCGTCAGAACCTTTTGACTTAGCCTGACCTGTGATGGAATCGGCGCGCCTCGGGGCACCAATGCGAATGCACTTTGAAGTTGCCGAGGCCAGGGCTCTCATCCACTGCAATCTGAATCGGCGAAGACGGTCCTCTGCTTCCAGATGTTTAGCGTAAAGCCTATGGCAGATAATGCGATAGCTCGATTCAAAGTGTCGTTGATCCCGCCAATGCGAGGCAGTTTCATCGTCTATGCATGGGAGCATGCTGGGGATAAAGGCATTTGGTCGTTGTATGTATTGACATTACGAAGAGCTCCTAAATAAAGCAGGCAATTCAAAGAGATGAAACGAGTTAGAATGCATCAGGCATTTCAAATGCAGCTCTGGTCGACCCAGTATCGACGACGCTTTCCAGTCTGGACAAGATGGCAATTGTTAGCATGCGCTTACCCACGTGACAGCGCTAGATCTCCGTCTTTTTGTGCGGAAGTATTACGAAATGGAACCAAATCATGCACAGGACGGTGGGCCAAAGCAATCCAACTCGTGCGCCGGACCCATATGAAAGAAATGACGTCATTCAGGAATGAGGCGAAAGACTAAACCCAGATTTTCTTGGTATGTCGCTTGTGTGTATTGCTTGAACTATCTCTGGAGAAAGAGGGCGTGAGAGATAATTTAGAGATAGTTTGGTAAGCTATAAGAACTTTTACTCGCCTCAATTTTTACAGCAGCTTCACTTATATTATTGGAAGGCATTCGGGCGACGCGGGCCCAGTAAGAACAGCTAGCTCTGCTCAGACTGGACTCTGGTACGGGCGCCTTCCGTCAAGCGCCCCGGCCGCTGAGGGATCTGGGAGACCTGCGACCTCCGGAGATCGATCGGAGATTCCAACACGGCGACGGGGTCACCGATTTACGTGATGCGTCACGTGACTCGGTGGTCAGCCCATCCGACGCCGTGTCATCCACACATGCGCGTTAAACTGATCTTGAACCATCGAAAACCAACCGACTCAACTTGACGGTGAACTTGGGGCCAGTCTGAACTTGGGGCCA